CACGTTGCATCAAACTGGCAGCTGCCTCATATAAAGTGGAATATGAATTAATTCAATTTTATGCTCTTCACTTGAAAGAAAACTTAATCCAGGATTTTTAGTGTTCATCTTGAATAGGTCTGAGGAACATCTCTGTCTGGGGTGGTTTTATCCTTTGCCTGTGAGATATTTACCTTAGTGTGGCTGAAGTTCTCATGGAGCAGGGGGATGTTGATCCAGGATGGATCCTGAGCAGCAGGGATGGGTTTGTACACACAGCCAGGGGAGCTGCTGTGGAACCTGCCTGCCCTTGCCCTGGAAGCTGCTGCTGTCGTTCCTCTTGGGTTTTAGTCACTTCTTTGTAAAGCTTCTTATAGTTGAGTTTTTCCAATTTGGGCATTGTTCCAAAAACCCTTCTCTTGGAATAATTAGCTTGCTTTGATTCCTTTTAATTAAATCATGTGAAGTAGGCTGGCTGTGTGCACGGCAAAGTCGCAGGTTTGATGTCTCCTCTGCTTTTTGGAAACTGGGATGCAGATCTGCTCCACGTGGCAGCTGCACCCTGGGATGGTCCCTGGAGTTTGGATTAGGAACAAGCATTGCTGAGGATCAGGGAAAGCTGCATCTCAGAGTTTGGGATCCACCGTGGGGAGGCTTTGCCATGGGCTGGACAGCCCAGCATGTGGAAATGATGGATTCTGCACTGGAATAACTGGGGTGGGACTGGTTCCTCCAGGAGATCCCAGCCAGCCCTGCTCCCTGAGGTTCCACAGGGCAGGAAACCTTCCAGTCCCAGGATTGTCCATGTCCTGCAGATATGGAATCATGGAACTGGTTTGGAGGGGACCTCACAGACCATCCAGTCCCAGCCCCTTCCACTGAAGCAGGGTGCTCCAGCCTGGCCTTGGGCACTTCCAGGGAAATTCTGCTCTGGGCAGTAATGGACACTTGAGGAGGGAACATTAAAACCTCAAACACTGCAGCTGAATTGCCTCTATTTTATTTATTTTACCCACCACAGTAACTCACCACATGCAGTGCCTTGTGTGTGCCATTTGCATTTGGGCTTCTTTGTCACCCAGAAGCTGTTTAAAAAAACCCAATCTTCAGCCAAATAAAGCTTTTATATCTCATTATAGATTCTGGGTAGGAGCATCCTTCTTCTGCAAGGAGGTGTAAAAGGCAGTTTCAGTATAAAATACTGAATGTTGGAGTAGTTTCTTCTGTGGATAAATTTGGAACACATTCAGTAAGGTATCTTAGGGATAAAAGGGGAGTGACTTCAGGATTTGTTCTGAATGAGAAGAGAGAGGATGATGTTATACCTTGTGAAGAGCAGAGGCTCTGGATGCCAGCAGAGACATTTGTCATACATTTTTCATACACTTTGTGTCCCCTGTGCTGGGGGCTGAGGTTTTGGCGTGGAATCACACACACGCTGTGGTCTGAGGCTTGTGGAGTCTTTCTGGAACAAACACTGAGGTCTTGGGCTGCAGGAGAATGAAAGAGGAACATCTGAATTTTACAGCTTTGATGAGAAAACAGATTTATCCTCATATTTCCTTAAGGAGAAAAAAATCCATCTCCCCTCTGAAAGAGCCGTGGTGCTCCAGCAGCGCCTCTTGCCTGCTGGGCTGGTGCCAGTGGTGATGGGAACCTGGCCTGGCTTCCAGAACTTTCCATTGCCACTGAGCGTTGAGCAACATCAGCAACTTCAGTCCCCTGTTCCGTCACCTCTGGCACTCTGCACTCCTTCCTTTTCACGGGAGCTGATGCTGAGCTGAGTTTCCTGGGCTCAGCAGCTGGCAGGATGAGCAGAGCCGAGTTTGGGAGGTGATGACGAGCCAGTTTCTGGTGTCTCAGGTGACAGCAAAGCCCTTTGGCACAGCCCCAGAGCTGCTGCAGCCCCGGCTCCTCCTCAGTGCCACACGTGTCTTAATTATAAATGAAGGGAAATCCTGTAGTTAGGCGAAGTTTCCAAAGCAGGGCCATTAATTTAAGCTCCAAATCCAGAGGACTGTGGGAATTCTGCAGCCAGTGCATCCTGACATTCCAGTGGTGATGGATCCACTGAAGGGGTTTTCCCCTCCAGACAGACTCGTGTTGGAGAGGTCACTGCTGTGCCCTGCTAGGCAGTGAACACCTGCCTGGTTCATTTTTCTTTTGGAAGAGGCAAATCATTTGTGAAACAAATGGACAATGATTTGGGAGGTTGTTCTGTGGGGATGTCAGGGGATGGTTGGCCCCACGGCATTGGAGTGGCACCATCTCACCTCCCATTTCAGCACCAAACATGGGTAATGTCCACAGTGAAACCACTTGGAGCTATCCCCAGACTGGTTTCTTTTCCTGGTTTGGGTGCCAGAACTCCTTTCTATTGAAAATCTTCCTATTTCCTGCAAATTTGTCAATACAGTGTTTTAGCAGTCCTGAAGTTTCAACACCAAAAGGTGAAATGTCTTAAAGATTAACATCCTACCTGCCACAAGTTAGCAGGGACAAGGCTGGACTAACCAGAGTGTTTCACAGAAGTGTGGCAATAAACAAACAAAACTTTTAACTCTGCCTGAGTGAGCAGAACAACGAGGATCTCCTGGATCACCACGTTATTGCTTTTGCCAGGGGCAGGAGGTGACCGGGAGCTCTCGTTCCGGAGCTGCCGTCCCCATCAGGGCTGTGACAGCTCTGCTGCTCCAGGTGCAGTGTCCAGGGGAGGGCTGGAGTGTCCTGTGTCCAGCAGGGAGCACAGGCTCCCTCCAAACACCAGCAATACCTGTGCAGGGCAGGAGGGCAGCGTGGTGCCCAGGGCCAGCAGCCCTGGGGAAGTGGCCAGTGGCTGATAAAAACAGGGGAAAGGTCTGGGTTGTGTCTGTGCTACCAACAGCAGCTGCTGAGGTTAAACCCCACACAGCTCTGGGGTTTGTTACCTTTTGCACTCATTAGTGCTGGAAAGCTCCTGCTGGGAGCTGGAGGAGAAGGAACAGCCATGGGAGGAAAGGAAAAGACAAAAAGGGCTGGTGTGTTACTCACCTACCTGCTTCTTGTCACATCTGAAACTCCCAGCTGGCTCCTGAGCTGGCACTGAGGCTCAGACTGTGCTTACTCACAGGCTCCCTCCCCTCCATCCCCCTCGTCCTCGTGTTTCTCCAGGCCCAAATGATCTGTTTGCAGTTTGGAAATTGAAATCTACAGACTTTAGTTTTAGAGTCTGAATCCACCTCCATTAACTGCGAGCTGTGTTTAATATTGATGCTCTGGGGACGTGAGGAGGGATGGAATGAGCCTGTTCTCCTGTGGAAAAAGAGGCTGAAATTCCCCAGCACTGTGCTTTGGGTGGCTGCTGAAGCTGCCAGCAGCCAGGCTGGGATTTAAGGAGCACATTTTTTGCAAATCAGTGTCTTCATCACTACTCTGAGTGGAGAGAGGAGGAGGTGGGGGCTCCGTGGGAAGATTAATGCAGCCTCTTGGCTTTCCTGAGTGCTGAGGTTCCCAGAAAGGATGAGGGTGTCACATCACTGCTCCTTGCTTCATATTTTTCCTCCTTTTGCTTGCTTTTCTTGGGTGTTGCCATCATGAAATGCTTCCATTCATTGTTCCCTCTCCCCTGCTGGCTGGAGACTCTGTTAATTGAGCAGCCCTGTATCTGCTCTTCAGGCTCCTCAGACAAACAATTTAAATCCTTCATCCTCTTTTACTGTGACATTTTAAGACTTTCTCATCTTTGAGATGAGATGAAAAGTAAAAAGCCCAAACTTCTGTGGCCTTGGTTTGGTTTATAAACAGGCTCCCAATGGCAGGTTTTGGAGAGGTGTGTTTGTCCTGCTCTTAAATGTGGGTCTTTATTTCAATACATCAGATTGAAGGGTTTTATTGTGATTCTGGGGTTTCAGTCTCTGCAGCTCTGGAGAAGAGAGAAAGAGCCAGGCTTTTGTCTTTCAAAGGACAGTTGAAAGACTTTCTGTTATTATTTGGCCTTACTTCAAAAAATTGCACTTTTGAGCGTGACAAACCAGCTCCTACCCAGGTGTCTTGAACCCAGCCAGGTTAAAAGGGGTTTGAAGCACTGGGGTTTCTGCCAGTTTGATTTCTCCTCCATCCTCCAGTGTGCTCTGAGTTCGGTGCTCGTAGGGGCAGTAACGGGGTGCCCACAGCCACAGCTGAGGAAATGCATTCATTTTTCTAAAGGCAAAGGGCAGTTTCCAAGGGCTCTCCATCACTCTTCCCCCTTTTTACCCAAATGTGTCCATGTCAGGTTCCTGGGCCTTTTGTGTCCTTGTGTCTCGAGAGCAGAGTTGACCTGTACAGTTTTCTCTCTTCAGAAGAGGGCATTTGGTCAGCTGGAGGCTGAACTGGAGAATTAAGTGAGGGGTTACTTTTGAGACTGGCTAATGTTGAAACAGATTTTACCTTCCTAAGGTTTTCTGAATATTAATAATTCAAAAGTGAGTGAGCTGGGAGGGAGTTGTGAGCTAAACTGCACCACAGACACGCTTTGCTTACCCAGCCCCACTGCCAGTGTTGTGTGTTTCCCTTTCCCAGCTCCTGTCCACGCTGGCTCTGATGCCTGGAGAGGCTCCTGGAGCAGGGGCTGGGCAGGGTTAAAGGAATAAAGCAGGGATTTATTGAAAACCCTTCCAAAGATGCACCTTGGGCAGTGCAAGAGCCCGGCTGTGGCTGCACCAGGATGGGTCCTGGCTCAGGAGTTCCACACTTTTGTGAGTTTGGCTCCATTTCCACCTTGGGGTTAATTGTGCAGTTCAGGTGATGCAGTCCCACCCTCCCAGGCTGCTCTCCTCAATTCTCTGGTTGCATTTTTGTGCCCAGAGCTGCTGCTGTGTCCTTGGCTGTGGGGCTGGAGAAGGATTGCTGTGCGTGCCTGAGCTGTGAGGAGACCCTGCTGACACTTTGTGTGGAGTTCAGGGTTACCAGCGCAGTGCAGAACCTGGGAAACACGAGAGAAAAGCTGAAGGTGTCGCTATCAGAGGCTGTGTGCAGTGACTGTGTCCCCTGCTGTGTCCCAGGCCAGGTACAAGCAGAGCCTGGACCCCACGGTGGACGAGGTGAAGAAGCTGTGCACGTCCCTGCGCCGCAACGCCAAGGAGGAGCGCGTGCTGTTCCACTACAACGGGCACGGCGTGCCCCGGCCCACGGTCAACGGCGAGATCTGGGTCTTCAACAAGGTGGGGCTGACCTGCACAGCCACTGCAGCCTTCTGCTGCAGCACAGCTGCCTTTGGGTTGTGGCCTCACAGACTGCTTTGGGCTGGAGGGAACTTAAAGCCCATCTCATTCCACCCCAGCCATGGCAGGGACATCTCCCACTGCCCCAGGAACATCTCCCACTGCCCCAGGAACATCTCCCACTACCCCAGGGACACCTCCCACTGTCCCAGGAACATCTCCCACTGTCCCAGGCTGTTCCAAGCCCTGTCCAGCCTGGCCTTGGGCACTGCCAGGGATCCAGGGGCAGCCCCAGCTGCTCTGGGCACCTGTGCCAGGGCCTGCCCACCCTCCCAGGGAAGAATTTCTTCCCAATACGTACCCTGAATTTCCTCTCTTGGTCTGAGCCTGTTGTCCCATCGCTTTTCCAGGTTTAGGATATGTTCCCAGGTGTTTCATTCCCTGATTGATTTCTTTGTGTTCTTGAGGCTGTGTGGCCACACAGGCTGTCCCTGCCCTGGGGGGCACGAGAGGGGCACTGCAGTGCACTGAGGCAATAAATTATTGGCATGGGGTGGAAGGGGAACATGGAAACCCAGAATTGTTCCTGCTCTGCCTCACTGTCCAGTGTGGACACACCAAGAGAGCAGCAAGACAGTCCCTGGAACTGGTTAATTTGGCATTTTCTGGCCTTTTGCCACACACTGAGGCTGCAATAACATTTTTCATGCATTTATTGTGAGTGCTGTTGTATCAGTAAGGAGCAGTGTTGTAGTTCAGCTGCTGCTTCCTGAGCAAATCTCAGTGTAGCTTCAAAAGGAGAAAAATCAACATGCCCCAACTTGAGACATGTTTATTCTCACATTTTGAGGAGCTTCTCTGCAAATTTGGAATATCTCTGAGTTGTTTGCTAAACAATTGGGGATGAAATCTGTTCACAAGCAGTTTCCAGTTGAGCTGTTGTTGTGCCATTCCCAGGAAGAGGCACAGGGATGGTGGGAGCAGTGTTGGAGCAGGGACTTCTCCCCCATGCCCAAGCCAGGGAACAAACTGTATGTCCAGCTCTGCTTTAACACCCTTCTTGCTTCAAGCTGCCTCATTTACATCTCATTAGCAAATTTGATGTTTTATGTGACCCCCCACAGTGGAGTTGGAACATAAAATTCTTCTGGTTGGAAATACCACAGTATTAATCAGAGCTATAACCCAATCTTAGCTGGAGCAAGATGCATTGGAAATAAAAAGGTAAAACAATGCCTGCCCATAAAATGTCATTGATGAGATGTGTCAGAGCAGGTTTTTTATGTGGAACTTCCTGGGGCTGGAATGTGCTTCACGTGAGTGGTGACCTTAAGAAAGGCTGTGCTGAGGACGGGCTGCTCATGCCTCATTCTCTCATTGCCGTGATTTGCAGAGCTCCAGCTCCTTAAAACTTTGGTTTTTATCAACAATTTTCCCTATTAATTTTAATGAAGCAACCCAAACTGTTATATATGGGCAAAAGTGGGTTTGGAAATGCTTTATCCCTCCCTGCCTTACGTAACACATGGTTTATGATACCTCCTGTCTTTATCGACGCTGATACGTGTCCTTGAAAATTGGATTTTTGTAAAAAGTTTACTGGTTTTATTACAGCTATTTTAAGTCTCTTGAATTTAAATGAGAGTTATGATCCCATCCATCATCCTGCTGATGTTAATAGGAACATCACAGCTTTTCCTGAGGATTTTGGGCTGAGCTCAGGGTTGGAGGAACACCAGGTTGCCCTCTGCCTGCAGCGGAGAAGGATCCTGCTGGCAGCCGCTGGGTGTTTGGTGGTGACTCTTTGCAGGCAGGAATCTGTGGTTTATATTTTCAGCTCTCTTGGTTCAGGATTGGCTCCTCAGAGCTGCTTTTAAATGGCTGATTTTTATCCTCTTGCCTCCAGTTATTTGGGGGCGTTCGTTAAGATGGAAGACAGGGAACAAGATCCTCCTTATTTACAGAGAGGGAACTGTGGGCACTTCACTCTGTTGAAGGCAGCTTTGTTGGTTTTCATTTTAATGGATAATTTGGAAAGTTGCACAGAAGCTAAAGCTGTAATAAAATTATGAAGCATCTCGTTAGGCTCAGGCAGGGTAGTGCTGATGGGCTGCAGGGGCTTAATTATCCATCCTGATTTATTGATGGGGTTTTCAGTTTAAGATGTTTGATGTTAAATTAAAGACAGCTGGTTTGCATCCTTTATCAGCGTTGCAGAAATTTGGGATAAAATTGGACTATTAAATGATGTTTGGAGTTGTTAGCACATATCAGAGCTCTAAATATCTGATACTGAAAACTCTTGGCAAAGTTTTTGGGCTTTTTTTTTTTTTAGAGTTGGGTGTTTCAAATAACACCACAATAAAATCTGCTCGTCGCTTGTGTTGACTTGGGTTCACTTCCTCACTGTTGGTGACACTGGCTGAGATTTGTATTAATTAATCTGTTCAATCTAGGGTTTATTGTGGGGTTTCAGAGCTGGCTGTATTTGATGAGCTCACCCAGTTTGGGTTCTGTCACCCCATGGTGACTGAGCTTTTCTCGTGCAGAACTACACCCAGTACATCCCCCTGTCCATCTACGACCTGCAGACCTGGATGGGGAGCCCTTCCATCTTCGTCTACGACTGCTCCAACGCCGGCCTGATTGTCAAGTCCTTCAAGCAATTTGCACTACAGAGAGAGCAGGAGCTGGAGGTGAGGGCTCAGGGCTCTGCTGGGCTGTGCTCAACACAAAGGAAGTTTCAGCTTGCTTTGCTGTATACACTGAAAAATGTGTTTAAAACCGTGTTGGAAGGCAAATTAATTTGCAAATAACTTTGAAACTCTGATCTTTCTGGTTCAGTTTGCTATCCCATTAAACTTGGAATGATTTTTAATACAAGCACTAATTAAATGTTAATGTTAATAGAATCAATTTGGGCCCTAATGGTCTTTTCTGCTGAGACGAATGCTGAGGTGAACAAGACATCATTATTTTGGTTGCAAGACTCTGCTATCTGGGGCTGTATTTCGATGCAGTTGTGCTTTTGTGCTGTTGAAGTGAATGCAAAAATGTGAAACAACAAAAACCTGATCCACACAGGGATTGTCCTGCTGGTGGTTCCAGTTCTGCAGAGTGTGGAATGTGTTCCCAATGAAAAGCTGTCTTTGGTTGCAAATGGAATTAATAAATGTATTGAAGGAAATCTGAAATGCAAAGTGGAAGGGAAGAAGTTGGAATGTTCTGTGCAGCCTCCCACCTGCTGCCTGGAGCTCACAGGGACATTCATAAAGGTTCACTTCTAGGACACTGGATTAGAAACCCCAAAACTTCAAGGAAGGAATATTAATTAATCAGGCAGCTGAGTGTCACAAATACAAGCTCCAAACAGATGTTCAGTGTTCCTGCCTGTCAGTCCTTTCCTTCGGAATTCCGGATTTTGGAGAGGCTTTACTGGGGGCTCTTTGGCAGGTGGAAATTCCATTGCACTGAGGAAGACAGTCTGATAGCCTGGGATATGCAGATCATTCCATTATTCCTTCTCTTCCATAAAATAATTCCATATTTGGTAACAATAAGAAACTTCTGTGACTTGGGAAGAAGATGGAACTGCCAGACAGGGATCGATCGAATTGGTAGGAGATGCCTTTGGAGGTCAGAGCAGGCTGGTCTGAATATCCTTTCCCAAGTTCTGGGATTCCCACTGGGATATTCTGGGGGCCTTTCTCCTTTGTTTACACAGTGCTCTCTTCAGCACTCTGGTTTTGGTTTCTCATTCTGTTCCCAAGCAGGTGGAACAGGTCTGACTCCACCTTCCCTTTCCCTGCTTTCTTCACCCATCTCCTTTTCCCCTTGGCTTGTGCTGAGCTCCAGGAGGACTTGGGGGCTGCTGAGGGAGGGAGGGGAGCTCTGCTCAGGTGGAGATTGTGCAGGAAAACCTCTGCAAGTGCAGCCAGGGGAGAAGGATGAGCACAGGTGATAAAACCTTCATTCCAACAAACCCTAAATTCCATCCTCTGTGGGATTGTTCCTCTGGTGCAATGTGTGAGGTTACATGGGACAGCTGCTGTAGTGTTGCTGCTCTTGCAGCACAGGTTAACACTACCAGTTCATTTGGGTTTGAAAATACTCCCAGGGTTATGTGCCAGCTTTTCATTCTGTCCTTGGATTTCATTAACTCCTGGTGCCTGAGTGAGGTTCCTGCTCGTGGGGAACAGAAAAAGCAGAGCCTTGCTGACAGAGACAGCAGAGCGCTCACGGCATCATGAGAGCGTGGAGGGGAATTCATTTGGAAAATTATAAATTATCCATTTGTTCAAATTCATGAAAAGTGAAGCAAAGCTGCAACTGGTGCTCCAGAGGGACTGCCAGAGTGATCATGATAATTGTTCCCCATTTCCCTGCAAGGAGATCAGAGGAGTTTGCTCTTCCCTTCATCTGCCAGAGGGATTCTCACCTTCTGATTCCATACCTTGCCCTTATGAAAGAAATGCAAAGTGTTGGAAAGAAACATTGGTGGCTGAGGTTTACTTTGGTTCAGAAAGGTGCTGAGAAGATTATTTATGTTTTCACTCCCTGAATTATTAGTCTCAAAGATCATATTCTTAGTCAAAATCATAACCAGGAGAATGCCTGTGCTTTTGGAAAATGGGAATGTAGGTCTGTAGAGCATTTTTACTCTATAGATTGAGGTTTGGCCTGCAGGGTATTTCTAGACTGACCCTGGATTTAGCAGTGGAGTGCTGATATGAGTTGAAGCTCCAAACCCAGAGCTCCAGGGAGCACTGGCAGTTCTCTCTGGGTGATTTCCTGACCTTCCCTGTGGAATTCCCTTGTTCTCTGCAGGTGGCTGCCATCAACCCCAACCACCCCCTTGCCCAGATGCCTCTGCCCCCTTCCATGAAGAACTGCATCCAGCTGGCAGCGTGCGAGGCCAACGAGCTGCTGCCCATGATCCCAGACCTGCCTGCCGACCTGTTCACCTCCTGCCTCACCACCCCCATCAAGATCGCGCTGCGCTGGTGAGTGAGGCCCTCCTGCACCCCCTGCCCGGGGCACAGGGGGGCTCTGGAACCCCAACTGCTGCCCCTGAGCCCGAGCTCCCCTGCAGGGCTGAGCAGCAGGGTTTGAACTGTGCACTGGGGACAGCGGCTCGTTAATGAGAGCTGGAAAGGTGAAAATATCGTTATCTTCTACTTACTGCGTTTTAGTTTCCAGCTCAATATCTAGGTTTGCTCAGATTAAGGGATTTACTGTTCTGGGAATTAAATATCTGCTTCCTCAGAGAGCAGGAATGGTAGATAGTGCAGTACAACTTTCTGTAAACTGTCCTTTGCACAAATCACATCCCAAATATTGCGGTTGCTGTAAATAATGCAGCAGCTTTAAACACTGCTGGAGTGAGAGGAAGGGAGTGATAAACCAGGGAAAGATGTTCTGCAATGGCAGCCCAAGTTAATTAGGCTGAAAGTTAGAAAAGGCTGTTCCAGAGAGCAGGAGCTGTCCAAGAGCAGTGTTTTACCCAGCTCCCAGGACCTGAGGCTGCAGCCCCCAGAGCCAGAGGTTCCATTCCCAGAGGCTCTTCCAGCTGCTCCTCTCAAGTTTTTGCCTGCTCCAGAATGGAAAAACTTCAGGGCATTTTCTGGACAGGGTTTGAACAGGCAGAAGCCCACAGACACTGCAGGTGGTGCTGAGAAATTTCACCACAGCTCTGAGAGTTACTCACTGCCCTTTGGAGATATTTGTAATAAATTACAGTTCATTAAACTCTTTCTGTTTCACATCAGCAGCAAAGTGAGCGAGTTCCTGTGGCCAGGCTCTGGTTTGGGTATGTGAAGTTCTGTAGGAGAGGTTTTTTTTGCTGGGTTTTGTTTGTTAGATACACTAAGAAAGGTTTTTTTCAGATACTGTGATCTGTTCAGGAATTTTCTGTTCCTCATCTCCATGGGAACGTGGCTGAGGGGGTGAGCAGGGCAGGTTCTCCACAGGCTACACCTGCACGAGCATCAGAGATTCTGTGAGTTGTGTCTCAGGCTGTTTGACAGGAGAGGTGTTTGTAGAAGTGCTCAGGGGAAGGGTTTAACCACCTCAGCTGGAAGGTGCCATGGGAACTCCTGCACAGTGAGGAATTTCCTTCCACTTCCAATCCAGTCATTGTGTGCTGTTCACTGCACTCAGGAATTTCATCCTCTGATGAAGGTTATGCTCCTTTTGTGTTCCTAGTTGATTGGCATTGTTGCAGGTGTGGTTTTATCCATGCAATCCTGTAAATAATAAGTGCTGCTGTGGATCATTGGTTTTTACTGATGTTAAACACAAGGAATGCAAAACCAGACCCTCTGCTGCATTCTAAGAGTTTGATCCAAGCTGTGTTGATGTCCTAAAGCTGTTACCCAAAAATAACCACAGAGTCCTTTGCCATCAAAACTTCCCTTTTCCTTCATCTCAGCCCTTTTCCTAGAGCTGACCCAGAACCCTGTGGAAGTGCTTTTGGAATACGACATTTGTGCGGTTCCAGGCTGGCGCTCTAATGAGGTTTCACATACGGAATTTATGGGCAAATGAAAGTTTGGATAAATGTTTATCCATCCCATTATTGTTCTCTGTGGCGAAGTCACTGGAGGACAAAATCCCTCATCAGCTGAGGCTGCAGCTGCAGCCACTTCTGCCTGATTTCAGGGGAAGCGAAATCGATGCTGGGAAGAGAAGCAGAGGTCAGCCGAGCCCTCGGGATGTGGGGCACGGAACTCCTGGCGCCAGCCTGCAATTCCAGGAGGCTGGAGCGTGAGCTGGCTGTGGGGATGCTGATTGTCCCTGTGTGTAGTGAGTGCTGTGAGCTGACGTGTTCCCCGTGGATCTGGAGCTATATAAAGCTGTGGGTGAGGCAGAGCGGGAGCTGAGCTGTGGGATTGTTAATCCTGACGGATGGCGCTGGCGGGAGGCAGGCGCGGATGTTGAGGAACGGGCAGCACTGGCAGGTTTTGGAGCCCTGCTTTACGCAGATCCCGGTGCCCAGAGCACAGGCAGCTCCCCTGGAAGCTCAGGGCTGACTCATGTGCCTGCATTTCCATCCTCCTGGAAGGTGCAAACCGGCTGCAGTCGCACACCCACAGCTCCCCGAGGCTGCGCTGGCCTGAGCTGACCGAGGGGCCCTGGGGCTGTGAAGTCCTGTCCAGAAAGAGGGGTGGGGATCCTGAAAAGGGCTGGAAAACCCCAAAGAGCAAGGAGCAGAATGCTGGGGAGCTGCTCAGCCTCAGGAGTTTGAGATGTGCAGTTTGTTCTCCAGAAGGCTCAGCCAGCACGGGAAGGGAGCGGGACGGGACCGGAGCTGTGCCTGCTGATGTTCTGTTTAAAGGGTTTCCTGGGGTTCTCCCTGATGTATTTATTTTGCATTTCTGCTAGAGATTTTGGGGTTAACTCAGCTGTCCCACACTGGTTTTGACAAACTGCACTGAGCTTCAAAATCCTCCTGTGATACTGAGCACCATTTCCTGCGTTCCTGGGTTTGTGTTGTGAGGGACCTGAAAGTCCATCCAGTGCCACCCCCTGCCGTGGGCAGGGACATCTCCCACTGTCCCAGGTTGTTCCAAGTCCTGTCCAACCTGGTCTTTGAGATCTTCCCTTTGTCTTCCCTAATCTGGGAATATTAGCACCTTCCACTATCCTGGGTTGCTCCAAGCTGGCCTGGGACACTTGCACTTCCACGGGCAGCAGATGTCACCATGCAGAGCTGTGCTGCTCTCCTGGTCCTTCCAGGCACCATCAGAAGGGTTAAACTCTCCAGCCTCATCCCAGGGACCAGGCTCTGCCAGGCTGAGCCTGCCTGGGGCTGCTTGGGAGGGAATTTCCCTGCACGCTTCTGTAATGCACTGTCGTAAGAATTTTATATTTCAGCAGATTGCACAGGGATCCCACTGCAGGTGCCTGGGTTCTTTATGGCTTCTCTTTCTGCTGGATGACGCACACAGCAGGAAAAGCAGCCTGGGGACCACGAGCCTGTCCCAGTCCTGGGCTCCACTGGGTGTCCTTCAGGCAGAGGATGCCACAGGGAAGCTGGAGTGGCCCTCAAGATCTCAGAAATGAGCTCTGCATGTCTTGTCTTTAATGAGTAATTGTTCTCCCCTTTATCTGGGGAAAAACCTTATGGAGCTGGATAATGTGGCTCTGGAGAGGAGGGGTGTGGGAGATGGGATTGCTGAGCCCTCGGTGACCCCAGAACTCTGAGCAGGGTCGAGATTCCAGCCAGGGGTAAATTCCTCCTTCAGCAGCAGAGAGGGGATTGCAGAGGGGCTGGAGCTGGGAATGCAGCCTGGCAGGGGAGACCATTGCAAGCTGGATTTGCTGGGTTTCCATCCTGTGCTCCCACTGCTGCCCTGGGCTCCCGGCAGGAGGGAGGCAGCGTCCCCCCTTCCCACACACTCCTGCTTTAGCAGCTTTGGGGATTTTCCAGGCACTGCTGACAGGACTCTGCGTTTTCCAGGGCTGCTGTTCCTGGAGTAGTGGGATTTGTAAGGCTGAGGAAATGGAGTCAGCAGTTTTTTTAATTAAATAACGGAGGTGTCTGAACCTGACGCATTCCTCCCGTCCCCTCCCTTCTGCCTCCCCTGCCTGCAGTGCCAGATCTCCCAGGGAAGCCCAGGCAAGGCTGATCATTATTCCAGCAGCATAATCCTCCCTGCTCTGTCGTGCTCCCGAGAGGCCGTGCTGGCTGCTGGGAGCCCTTTCCCCCGTGCTGTGTTGGAACACTTGTCACCCTGACAGTTACAGTGGCCCAGTTTTGACACCTGACGATGGAAATGGCCCCGGAATCACGAGGGTGACAAATGCTGAGAGCCTGGTTTGGCTCTGATCGTGCCCTGCTGAAGTTTCCTACCCAAACACCATTTCAAGAGCAGAACCAGTGCAATAAAGAGCCCTCCTTCTGCATCCTCTCTGCAGAGCCTCGTCATTAAACACTCAATTAGTGTGTGCTGTTTTACCGTCTCTCCCCAGGTTCTGCATGCAGAAGAGTGTCAGGCTGGTGCCAGGAGTCACGCTGGATTTAATAGAGAAGTAAGTCCAATTTTCTATGTATTGGTGTGTCCTGAAGGGGGTTAGGAGAACAGAAGTCTGGCTGTAAGAAGTGGAAATTCCTCACAGGAAAGTGTTCCTGGAGTTCACTGGTGTTCAGTGAGGTGTGGGGATGTGGAGCTGGCCCCTTGTCAGTGGGCTGAGATCACATCAGCCCCAATCTCCTGTGCCATTTTTGTGTGTTTTCAGTCAGCTGAGGTTCAAAAAGCCTCTCAGTGCTGCCAGCCCTTCCACACAGCTGTGTTGGGCTGGCCAGGTTCAGCAGCAGCGTTAAGGTTATTAATTGTGCTGATTTTATATGGGGAAAATTGATTCTCTCCTCTCAGCAGGGGAGAGAGTGTGATCATTTGTATAAAGCTGTATTTCAGAGCCACTCATTGGAGCAAAATAAAAATACAGTTTGCAGCTGGCAGAGCAGAGACAGACCCTGTCTGTCAGAGGAGGTGTCAGGGTGGTTTTCAGGGAGAGGATTCACCACTGGGTGCTGCTTCCTCTGCAAGCTCTGGGGAAAACGTGCTGGGGTTTGTGTTTCTTGTGGCCTGGAGGAGATGGGAGGCAGGAAGGAAACCTCCCTGGGGCTGAGCTCGCTGTGCCTGAGTGCCAGGGCTGTGCACAGGTTTGGGGATGAGGAGGAGACTGGGGCCACCTCAGGCCACTGCGTAAAGAATGGCTGTGGGATGTTAATTAATTAACAATTGCTACAAGAGTGTCTCTAATCAAAGACGTGGGGAGGTCGCTGAGGGTCTGAGTCAGGCAGCTCTGACTCAGCCTGGCAGAGCACTTGGATGTTAAATCCTCTTTGAATAAAGGTTTCCTGGCAGAAATAGGTTTTTGTGCAGGCTCTTGGTCTGTGCCACAGCACACGTGTGTGTTCTCCAGGGGAAGGGTGCCAGCAGCAGCTTCCCGTGGAGATCAGATATTTAAACCTCATCATCTTCATCTGCTCCTTGTATCAATTATAGAAAACATAGATTTTTATTACAGTCTCTAGACAGACATGGAATAATTCCTGGATTGCCTATGTGTATATTGTAATTTATAATTCAGTTGTCTTTAAAATTGGGGAAGGAGTTTAGATTGCAATTAAGCTGCAGACTTTGAGGCTAAATGAAGCTGCACCTTCTCCTAAGGGCTCCGATTTCCAATTATCCAGGCTCAGCCCATGTCCTGATGAGGGAACGTGTGGTGGATCCTGATGTGCATTTACATCACAGATCTTCTGAGACAAAGCCAAAACAACCCCTTAGTTTAGAAATAAAGATCTTTGCTGGAGCCAGACAGCAAAATAGAAAGGAATTTCAGTGCAGTGTTGGGAATTTGGGAATTCTGGCTGCCACCTCATGAGACCTTTTGTTGGCAGCGTCTCTGTCCATGTTCCTCCTGCCTTGGGGGGACTTTTCTGTTTGATCCCAGGACTTCAGATCATTTGTGCTGGAGGTGTGGTTGCTGAGTGACATGAATTGGGCTTTGTTCTGCTTTTCAAAAAGTTTGGGGAAAAGCCTAAGGAATGGTTTATGGGAATAAATCCATGGCAATGGGAACTCAAATCTGGGTGCCAAGCACTCAGAAGGAAGGAATTCTAAACAAAAATCCCCTGAGAAGGGGGAAAACAAAGAAAGCCTTGAGAGCTGTTCCTGTTCCTGGTGGGGCTGTTTAGACCAGAGTCTGTGTCAGTGTGGGGAAATGGCTGTGCCTGGGCCCCAGCTCGGTGCCACTGTCCCTGCAGAGGAGCCTGGTCCCTCTGCTCCCTCCAGGGCTGGTGACAAAGGGCCCCTCTGAATGTCCCCAGCTGGGGGACAGTCCTGGTGAGGCTGGTCCGGAGCAGAGCCCGCTCCAGGCTGTCGTGCACCAGCACCACATCCATAAAAGTCACCAGAAATAACAAATGTGAGACTAAAATTAATGTTTGTTTCCACTCGAAGCATTATCAAATGTCAGGGGCTGGAAATTGCTCATGTTTTAATGTCTGTTTATTATTTATAGTGGAAGATGATAATTCATGGTTTGCCTTTGCACCTGGGTTTGGCAGCTCTCAGCCCCTTGATTTTCATGTAGAAGACTGAGTAGAGGATGTCAGAGGTGATTTCTGTGTCTCAGGGGGTGCTCCTGGCCCTGGGTCAGGGGGCTGCTGTGCCTCAGAGCCCTGGGCACCTCTCCCAGCCCCGCTGGAGCTGCTGGGATGGGACTGGCAGGAGTTTCCCTTCCTCAGCCCCTGGCTTTGCCGTGCTGGAGCAGCTCCTTTGTCCCCTCTCCCGGGGGCTCAGCCTGTTGTGAATGCAGATCCTGCTCCAGGGATGGTTTTCATGGCAACGCTGTGCTCACATCCTCGCTCCGGGGGCTCTGCAGCTCCAGCTGAGAGCTCCCAGCCTTCGTCCTCCTCGGTGTTTGCCCAGCTTTCACAGCCCAGGCATGGCACCAGCCCTGGGGTTTGGAGATGGGCACGTCCCTGAGCACAGGAGCTGTGTGGCTCCTGCCTGAGCAGCTCAGGAGGTTTCACACAGCACCTTTGAGGTTGGAAGTGATCTCTGAGATCTCAGAGTCCCAGCTGTGCCCCATCCCCACCTTGTCCCCAGCCCAGAGCCCTGAGTGCCACCTCCAGCCCTTCCTTGGGCACCTCCAGGGATGGGCACCTCCAGGGATGGACACCTCCAGGGATGGGCTCCCCCAGGGATGGACACCTCCAGGGATGGACACCTCCAGGGATGGACACCTCCAGGGATGGACACCTCCAGGGATGGGCACCTCCAGGGATGGACACCCCCAGCCCTCCCTGGGCAGCCCCTGCCGAGGCCTGGCCGCCCTTCCCAGGGAGAAACCCCTCCTGGAGCCTGAAGCCTGCTGTGAAAGTTGCCATCCCACGGTGCTGGGGAAGCTCAGCAAGGATCCCCGTGGCTCCCAGGGAAGCCCCCCTGGCCTGGGGGCTGTGCTGTGCTGCACAGGGTGTTCTGCAATGCAAATATTGACAGGGAATCCTCAGCAGAGCCTCTGTGGCCTCGTGTTCCCCGCGCTCGCTCCGGGGGATCCATTAGCAAACACTGCTTCTGAGATGTGTGTTTTTCCTCTCATACCAAGACAGACAGGAATTTTTCATAAGATGTTAATTTCTAGCTGGTTTAGAAATGTATTTGTACACGGGAATGGTGCTGCTGCATGTGGCAGAGGAGTGAGTGGCCACAGAAAGGCTTCCTGTGTTGGTCCTGATACTTCTGATATTTAAAAACTTGTCACAGAAAGGAAATTGGGTTAAATTAGGATTAAATCCACAGGATGTCTTAGCAGGTTGCTGCATGTTTCTCAAATTTCCTCATCCTATTGCTGATGAGGAGAGTATTTTGAAATAATCATATTTCTCGTGAGGAGAAAGGCAAATTAACAGGGGCCTCATTAAGGGTTTTATTTCCCCCACTTGCAGGATTCCTGGGAGGCTGAACGACAGGAGAACTCCCCTGGGAGAGCTGAACTGGATCTTCACAGCCATCACAGACACCATTGCCTGGAACGTCCTGCCCAGAGGTGAGGCCAGGCAGGGGAGGGGGATGAGGACTCAGATCCACGAGACACTGAAATGAGGAGAAAATTAAACCCTGAAACTGGAGGAACAGATCAGGATGGAGCTGAAAGCTAGTTTGTTTTTTATTTGTTCTTTTTACCAGGGCATTGCAGAGACCTGATGATTAGAACCCAGAAAGGGTTTTTCTGTGCTAACACAATTGTCGTAGCATGAATAATTCTCTTTCTTACAGTATTTGTAGAGAGCAATCTGTTTTCTTCCAGCCTTGGTTAGTAGCATGAATAAAGGCTTTTTTCCCCTCTTTGCTGGTAAGGCAGTTTTGTTTCCCATGAGTAACTTCATCCCTCATTCCCCCACCCCTGTTGTGCTCAGAATTGGTACTTGTGCAGCACAAGCAGCCAAATTTGTAAACAGTTCTCCAGCCCTGCTCTTCCTAATGCTCACATGGCATCAATTCTTCTCTGCCCTGCAGAAGAGAGCACATTTGCTATCTTTCAGGATTCATTTTGGCTTCTCATGAGCACATCAAACTGCCAGTTAACAGATGGGTAGTTCTTGATTAAACAGTACACAGAGGTCCTGTTCTCCCTCAGTAATTTTCCAAAACCTTAGGATGAGCTGAACTGAAACACCAAAAGAGGGGATTTGATCCAGAAAAGGCAAAGAAGAACCCAAGGCAGAAAGTGTTTAATTGTGGAATGGAGTAGCCATGGTGCTCTGAGGGAGCTCTGAAGGCAGAACTTCCCTTTCGTGGTTGTCATCACATCCCTGCAGAGCTGCTGGAGATTCCTTCTTAGCAGAACAAAACAGAATTACAAAACTAGAATATATTAATAATATAAATAATAAAATAAAGAATAATATAATGTAATATGATAAGTTAATAATAACATATACTATAATGTTAATAATAACATACTATAATGTTAATAGTAACATACTATGATGTTAATAGTAACATATGCTATAATTTTAATAATAACATATGCTATAATGTTAATAATAACATATGCTATAATATTAATAATAACATATACTATAATGTTAATAATAACATACTATAATGTTAATAGTAACATATGCTATAATGTTAATAGTAACATATGCTATAATGTTAATAGTAACATATGCTATAATGTTAATAATAATATATGACATATATACAATAATATAATAAACATATGATATATAATCTAATGCTAATATATTATTAATAATATAATATTATTATGTTATATATTATATATTATATATTCATTATTATATATTATATATTAATATAATGATATAATAATAAAATATAATAATATAATAATTAATTATAATTAATGTAATAATATAAGAATGATGAAATAATAAAAACAATAATATAATATAGTATAATAACACCACCCAACCATAACACAACATGACCATAGCATGGTTTTATGTCTAAAGCCCTTTCTGCATGCTGCCCGAGGTGCTGCCAGGTGCTTGCAGTGACTCCTGCAATCTCTTGGCAGATCTTTTCCAGAAGCTTTTCCGCCAGGACCTGCTGGTGGCCAGTTTGTTCCGAAACTTCCTGCTGGCAGAGAGGATCATGAGGTCCTACAACTGCACCCCTGTGAGCAGCCCCCGGCTGCCCCCCACCTACATGCACGCCATGTGGTGAGTGCTGCCAGCCCCCCCTGCTCAGGGCCACCCGGGCTGTTGGGAAGGAATCACCCGGGCTGTTGGGAAGGAATCAATCACCTGGGGTGTTGGGAAGGAATCACCTGGGATGTTGGGAAGGAATCACCTGGGATGTTGGGAAGGAATCAATCACCTGGGATGTTGGGAAGGAATCACCTGGGGTGTTGGGAAGGAATCACCTGGGATGTTGGGAAGGAATCAATCACCTGGGGTGTTGGGAAGGAATCACCTGGGATGTTGGGAAGGAATCACCTGGGATGTTGGGAAGGAATCACCTGGGATGTTGGGAAGGAATCAATCACCTGGGGTGTTGGGAAGGAATCACCTGGGGTGTTGGGAAGGAATCCCCTGGGGTGTTGGGAAGGAATCACCTGGGATGTTGGGAAGGAATCAATCACCTGGGATGTTGGGAAGGAATCCCCTGGGATGTTGGGAAGGAATCCCCTGGGGTGTTGGGAAGGAATCACCTGGGGTGTTGGGAAGGAGTCCCCCCCGGCTCAGGTTATTCCATGGCTGCCTGGAAGTGTCCCCAAGGGGCTCAGAGCACCCTGGGATGGTGGCAGGTGTCCCTGGGTGACGCTTTAGGGTGCCCTCCAAGCCCAAGTGTTCCATGATTCCACTGGAATGTCTGCAGTGCTTCCCTGGCTCAGTGGGTGGGTCAGGAATGGAGCAGCTCGTGGCAGCCTAGTGCCCATCTCCAGAGCTGCTCTGGGCATTCATAATTATCCTGTCATCCCCTGAGCTCCACGCCAGCCCTGGCACCTTTCACTCCAATACCAAAGAAATGGGTCATCTGCTGCCTTTGTTTTCCCGAGGTAAAGCTGCTCCCCAGGGATTGTTGGGGTGGGAAGGGCCTGAGGGAAGGATCCTTGTGTTGCTGAAATAGAAGAAATTCCTACTGTGGAGTTCCACTTTTGCTTTTAAGATGATTAATGGAAATGGAGGTGGCACAGTTATCAAAAAGCTCTTAAATGTAGTTCTGCCTATCAAACCAATGTCCCACGAACAGTTATAGTAAAAATGATAATAATAGCAGCAATAACAAAAATTCTGGCTTTTATTTTCTTACTCACTGTGATTAATAGAGCAGCACCAAATTGGACCAAGTACAGAGGGGGCAGTGGCACTGAGGGGGCTCCTGGGGGACAGAACAGAGCCTTGCTGAAGCTGAGGGGGCTCAACCTGCCTGCATTTCCAGAGGCTTTTGAAGAGGTTTCCAACATCAAATGTGGAGGAAGGTGAACGTGGAGGGTGGTGATGAATGAGTAGCACTGAGGAGGAGCTCAGGTTCCCAGAGCAGCCTGGGACAGTGGGAGATCATCCCAGGGGTGGGGTGAGCTGAGCTTTGAGGTGCAACCCAAACATTCCCTGATTCTGTGGCGTGGTTTCTGCAGGGGATGGAGCCAGGCTGGCAGCAGGGAGCCCCAGGAGCCTCTGCAGGTGCAGGCAAACACCGAGCAGGCATTTGCTGCTACCACAATGCTGCTTTAATTATTGAAAATCCAGGAGGAAAGTGGGGAGCCTTTGGCTGGAGTTGTCAGCAGTTGGGCAGTTGAACATTCTGAGTGCTTTGGATCAGCAGCTTCTGAGGAAAACTGCTTGAGGCTTTTGTGAATGGGATGAGCTCTTCTGTCAGTGTAAGGACAGAGCAGGAAAAGTCACCCTGGCAGAGCTCCAGCCACCAGCTGCAGTTTGCAAGTGCAGGAGGGTAGGACATGGTGTTGCAGGAGTTTCAAAATTAAACCAGTAAATTTCTGGAGTTATTTACAGCTTGCTTTTTTGCCAGCATATTAAAAATCTATATTTTCTGTTCCTTATAGGGACATAATTCACTCTTATTGCCAGCCTATTAAAAGCCTACATTTCTGGTTTCCTATGGGAATATGACTTGACTTGGAGCTGGTGTTGCCATCCATGGGCTGAGCTGCAGGAATGAAACTGGGAACTCCTGGATCCCATTTTTCATCTCTCTCAGACTCACATGGCAGCACAATGGGCTCTAGAAACACATTTTCTTTGCTCATAATGTGGTTCTGGAGACCTTTGTGCAGCCCCTCAGAGCACAGCACCTTTGCTGCTGCTTTTTTGGATTTACCAGAAAAAAATTCCATAAGAACAGGCTCACAAAGAGCTCTTTTCCACATGAATCCTAAACACTGGTGAGGTGGAGAGCAAGGGAGCAGGGCATTGACACACTTTACTCAGTGCCCTCCAAAAAATGTGCAGTTTGCAGTAAATCCAGCAAAGGGGAAAATTCCACTCTTGTCCGAGGTGGCTCAGTGCGTTATTAGGAACCTTTAGTAAGGACAGATTTAGAAACTAATTTAGGGCTCGTTTAAATATTTTCTAAAAATAATTACTTGTCTATCACCTTTCACTCAGGAATTTGTAATGGATCCCTGATCTGAAAGCTGCAGACCCATTTTACGGTTTGGATGAGATGAGGGCAGGGCAGCTGGCCACAGGCTGCTGGAAAGGATGGAACTCCAGCCAGGGGTCTGTGGGGCTCCTGTGGAGCTCCTGTGGCTGATCCAGCAGAGTTTTCTGATGGGTGTTTTATCCAGACTTTCCCAGATTTTTGATCCCCAGGCAGTGTTTTGGGGACAAGATCTGCCCGTGGTGGGAGCAGCATGGCAAACAGCCCCTGACACTTGAGCATCAATTTTTCCTCCTGAGTGATTCCCACTGCCCCTTCTGGGGCACAAAATCAGCCTCTGCTTGTCCCCAGCCCTGTCTGTGGAGAGCTCCAGGTCACACTGGGGTGGCTCCTGGCCTGGGGGTCTGGCACAGGTACAACACAAGTGCTGAGGCTGCTGAGGTGGGAGCTGCTCTGCCTTTTTCAAAAGTTAACCTTTCAAGTTGGTGTTCTGGCCATTCATCTGGGAGATCTCTTTAGCTGGAGCTTGAGGAAAAGTGAGATTTCCCATTTTTTGAGGGGATATTTGACCCACGAGCTCTCACTCTCCTCCCTTCCCCAGCAAGGGCAATGTGCTTTGGAGTCAGGAGAGCTGATCTGACACCTTACTTGTCTTTTTCCTACCTTGAGTTTTGCCTGCTCAGCCCCTTCCCCTGGGCTGGCTGTGTTTGTGGTGCCTCTCACTGCAGGCAGGGCTCTAACACAGGATTAATATTAACATTAATATTAATTTCCATTGATTGGCTGTGCTGTTCAGCTGCCACTGCCTCTGTCTGTTGTGCCCGAGCACAGAGCTCTGTCAGCACCTTGATCTCTGCCGTGATGGATTAGGGTTTGTGCATTACTGCTGCTGCCAGCTGCTTTTATTCACAGCCTTTGAAAAGACCTAATAATGTGTTTGGAAATATTTCCTAACACAGGTCATATATTAAACCCCAAGTGCCTTAATTATGCTTTGGAAGAGCTACAACCCATCCCTAATAGAAACAGCGTGGTGTGTTTGCAGGCCATGAAATTTGGGTTGAAAGGAGTTATAATGTACTGCAGCCACGAGGAGCTGGAGATTGGGGCTGGGAACAAAACCACAAGGCAGCAAGCCAATTGCAGGTGGAGCAGCAGGGGAGGCTGCAGGAGGCTCAGGGCTGCTCAGCCCTCCCAGGGAAACGCGGCTCCCAGGGCTGCACCGCAGCGCTCGGAGCCTCCACGAGGAGAAAGCCATTGTTTGAGGAGGTATTTGGAGCTGTTTGACGTTTGAAGGATTAGATTAGTTCAGATTACACTGTAACCAGATATTTTTTTGTGTCTGTGTGTTCGTCTTTGCGTCCCCAAGTCCCATTATCGGACTACGGAGACTTTGATGTGGGACAGAAATAGCAAAGCCTGTGCAAAGTTGTGGCTGGAGCAGGGGGATGTGCTGGGAGAAGAAAAGGATTTCAGGCTTGTGCCAAATATTCACAGCAGTAACTCTTTGTTAAAAATAGCTGTGTCTGAGCAGCTTCCCTCCCAGCTGTGGCCCCAAGCAGCTTAGGGAGGTGACAAGGGTGGCTGCCACACAGGTGAGCTGGGGCTGGGACCTGGGGACGTGGCCACCCAGGGCAGGGCTGGCACTGGACTGGCAGAACAAACCTGGAGTGTCCTGTCCTGCAGACTGGATCAGCTCGGGAATGTTTAATGGCTCCAGAACCAGGGATCAGAAGGAGGAGCTGCCCCAGGGCTGCTCCTCCAGGCAGGAACACTCCTGTTCCCTGGTACCTGGCTGGTACCACCATTCCCAGAGGAAAAGAGAGCGTGAAAAGACGTCAAGAATGCGCTATTCAAAAAAAAAAAAAACAACAAAAAGGACAGAGTTAAAAGCATTAGACATTGAGTCAGCCCCAAAAATTTGAGTGTGAGAAAATCAGCCTCCACGAGCTGCCAGCTAATGGGTACCCGTGGGTGCAGACAGACTCAGGCTCCAACTGGGCTGAGTTTCTGCACCCTGAGTGTTTCTGGGGCTTTCCAGTGCCTGGCACTTTGTGGCTTTGGGCAGTGAACCAGGCCCTGAGCAGGGCTGGGACTCTGCCTTCTGTTCTTTGCTTGAAGTCCAAACTTTGTAGCACCGCTGAGAACAGAGTCAGCTGATGGGTTCACACTGAATTATTAAACATTTAAACACTCCTAGTGTAGTGAAAGGGTTTTGGACTGAGGGGGGTTCCCTCCACAGACCATTCCTGTTGTGGTGCTGCCTTGGCTTTGGGATAAACAAAATCACAATTTTAGCCAAGTCAATCTTCCTGCTAGGCAGGGATTTTCACTTTGTGCAGTTAGTTCATGGTAGTATTAAAAAAATCAATTCCTCTTTAACACCTTCTTTCATAGCATAGCTCAGCTGAAGGCCTGGGTGTTGTCACCCCATGGGTACATCACTGTGTCACCCTGTCAGGGTGGAGGGCCTGGAGTTACTGGAGGAGAGGAGGGAGGACAGAAAGCTGTAGAGCTCTTTGTGTCCCAATCCCAGTGGAAAGCAATCTCGCAGAGCACTTGGCAGAGAGCAGCCTCTGATCCCTGCCTTGGCTTTCATAAATCACTGCTGGGATGCAGCACCTCCCCTCCTGCTCCCAAATTTATCTCTTGTTTGTGTGACGGGAGTCAGGCAGCACATCCACGCTGTGCCCACCTTTCCTGTTCCCTTTGGGATATTAAAGCTGTCAGTCACTGCTCCTCCTCCTCCTCCTCCTCCTCCCAGCCAGGGCTGCCTCCAGCACTGGGACAGGGCTTTCCCTTCTCCTCCTCTCCCCACCCTCCAGGGTTTGTCCTTTCCCATTCATTTGTGGCTTGGTTTGAATCTAGTAATTACTGTAACCAGTGTTTAATTGTCTGTTCAGCCAGCACAGTGAGTAACCTGTGTGTAACCTGTGTGTAACCCATGTGGAGCCCTGAGGCTCTGAGGAGGGAGCAGCTGTTCCAGCGGTTGGAAGTGGAGAAGTTGTGCTTTGGGCAGACCTGTTTGCTGGTGTCCCACTGGCTGGGAGGATTTGTGTTTTGCACAGACACAGCAGAAGCAGCACTTTGGGTGCTTTGGAAGGGCTGCAGAGCCATCTCAGGGCTGCTCTGGAATGCCTGGAGAAGCATTTGAAGTGTTTGACTTGAGCAGAGTCCCTTGCACAGCTGACAGTGACCACCAGCCTGTGGCTGTGGAGAGCAGGAAGGTTCAGGTTTTGTTTTGGAGGGCTGGCAGGGGTTTGCATGCTTTGGGTAACGATGGCTGTGTGGCTCCAGTGGTTCCAGCAGCCTGTTTCCAGAAGCGTCAAAAAGAGATTTCGTTTTAATCTACTCAAATCTCTTTTAAATTTTTTTGTTTGTTCTTTCTGATAACTCTTAAACCCTTTGAGATCTGACCTCGCAGGGCTGCTTTGGGCATTTTTGTAGCAGTATTAGTGCTGCTTACCTAAAAGTACTGAGAAGAGCTCAGCATCTTCTCTGTGTGCTGCTGCAGTGAGTGACCCACAGAATCCCTTAGTGGGCAGACAAAATCAGAGCAGTTGTCTCTGATCTCTGAACCATTCTCCTTCTGCCTAGTAAAACATACCTCAAAGGCCCTGTGGGCTGACATTGTCCAGTGCTGCAGAAAATTTCTTTAGGTGTTTTTTTTTCCCATTTCTCCGTGAAAACAGGGAATTTCGAGCACTTCTAAGCCAGTCAAACTCTGTCCCCGTTCTGGGATGGTCAGAATTTCAGTTTCCCTTGCTGTTCCTTATGGATAACTTGTAATTCCTTCTCTTCCCTCTCTCCTTGCTCCAGGCAAGCCTGGGACCTTGCTGTTGATATTTGCCTTTCCCAGCTGCCCACCATTATCGAGGAAGGAACTGCCTTCAGGGTAAGTTGGGGACTCTCCCGAAACGTGGGCCCAGCTTCCTCTGTTCTCTGACAGCTCAGCTCAGCTCATCACTGCTGCTGGTGCAGTTGGAGGGGTTCTGTTTGTGGAAAATTGAAAATGCCTGGCACAGGGTGCCCAGAGGAGCTGTGGCTGCCCCATCCCTGCGAGTTGGACGGGGCTGGGAGCAGCCTGGGACAGCTGGAGGTGGATGAGCTTTCAGGTCCCTTCCAGCCCAAACCATTCTGGGATTCTGGGATTGTCCCTTAGAGGAACAGATAAAAATCAAGTTTAAGCTCTTCCCTGCTGCACCATCCAGCCCCAGCGTGGGGCTCAGCAGAAAACTCCTGCCAGTGAAAGCAGTGTCTGAGACCTGACCCAGAACATTCCACAGCACTCAGACCTGACCAGGTGCTGTTACCCAAAAAGTCCCAACATGCAGCACAGTTTTTGCAATTAAAGGCCTAAAGGTGAAAATTATCTCTTCTTAGAGGTCTTTTCAAATAGAAACTAGAGTTTGAGGGTATGTCCAGAGAGTTCTCTTAAGCTCAGTGTTGTTAACAGGAGTCACTGGGGTTTTTCTGCTTTATTTAATCTCAGAGAAAAGTAAAATTTCTAGTATTATATTTAGCTTAAATTCCTTTATTCAGAATGGATTTTTATTGATTTTCCTTTGATATTTCATGAAGTGAAACCTTTAAATAATAATTACTATACGAGCTCAGGTCCCTGTTCCACCCTGCTGTCTCTCTAATTTCCAGTAGCATTCTTGCAGTTTATTTATATTGCCAAACTTCCAAAGGTTTTCTGGCTGTAATTGCAGGTTTTCTCCAAAGCCCTGAGTGCAGGAAGAGAGCTGTGGGCTCCTGCCAGGCTGGGGGTTGATCAGGATGCCCTGAGGCCTTTATCCTCCCACCCCTTGCCTTCCTGGCTCTGTGCTCTGCTTTAGAACGTAAAAAATACGATTTTTCTCCTCCTGACTTACGTTCATTTTTACTTCCAGTCTCTAACAATGTCATTGGAGGCTTTTTTATTAGTGTTAACCCTCAGCTGGGCATTCTTTGTCAAGTGGGCTGAAATTCAGGAGATTTCTGAGTGTTTTGGGGTGGGAAGAGGCACAGACCTGCTGGGGATCAGACAGGAGGTCAGCGAAGAAGAGTGGCCACCCTCAGCTGGAGATGGATTTGGGGTGGGCTGGGAACAATTTACAAGCTGCTTTTCCAGCCTGACAAATATGGATTATTGTGTATTTTGGCTGGAATGGAGGCAGGTTGAGCCATCAGTGTGAGCTGGGGCTGGCAGCCCCAGTGCAGCCAGATTCCAACCTGGTAGGAGGTTGGCTGGTGCTGGCCAGGGGGCAGGGAAGGGGACAGTCCCCGTGGCCACTGTGGCCACTGTCAGCCTGCTCCTGACAGGGCAGGGCTGGGAGCACCTGGGGGAGGCACAGGGACCTGCTGGGGCTGTGCAGCACATCACAAACCACTCCTGGCTACTCCCAGGGTGTTCTTGCCTGCCCAGACGTGGAAAATAAAATAACCTGGTAGAGAAGGGCCTGGGGGCTCCCAGTTCCTACAGGGATGGCTTTGGGCTGGTTTTCTCTCCCTCCTCCACCTCTTCCCTTCTCCTTCCCCACTGATTCCTGTTCTCTGTGGATTCCTGCCTGGAAGCTGCTGTGTGCTTTGGTCAGTGCATCCTCACCCCGATATGTTCCATTCCCTCAGAGTGAGGGATGACACCAGGAATTTATTCTCGTTGCTTTTGGGCTGTGTCTCCATGGACAGGGCAGAGGCAGCTCCAAGTGCTGCTGCAGGAGCCTCTGCAGAGCAGATAAATCCATTGCTGCTCCATCTGCTGCTCCTGAGAGAGCAGCCACCTTCCCCAGGACATTTTCTGGTCACTTTTCCTGTTTCTCTGCTCTCCCCTTCTTTTTTTCCCACCACATATAAAGGGATGTGTGTCTGCTCGGTCTTTGGGAAGGTTTTGTGCCTTTAGAAAACCCCAGGCAAACATGTGCCAGTTACACATCACAGCCCCAGGGAGCAGGGAGGTCCACAGGTGTCAGAACTCCTGGCTTCACTCCGTGCTGTTTAACCCATGCATCCCCTCTTGGCTCCCCCAGCACAGCCCCTTCTTCGCCGAGCAGCTCACGGCCTTCCAGGTGTGGCTGACCATGGGCGTGGAGAACCGCAACCCCCCGGAGCAGCTGCCCATCGTCCTGCAGGTCAGTCCTGGGGCTGGCCTGGCTCCCTGTCTGTGCCAGGGGTGTCCCTGTCTGTGCCAGGGGTGTCCCTGCCTGTGCCAGGGGTGTCCCTGCCTCTCCCTGCCTGTGCCAGGGGTGTCCCTGTCCATTCCAGGGGTGTCCCTGCTTGTGCCAGGGGTGTCCCTGCCTCTCCCTGTCCATTCCAGGGGTGTCCCTGTCTCTCCCTGTCCATTCCAGGGGTGTCCCTGTCTCTCCCTGCCCCTGCCACATGTCCGTGTCTCTCCTGCCCCTCAGCCTCGAGCTGCTGACCCGAAGGCCTTTGGGTACATAAATACCAGGGGCCTCCCCTCCCCTGGAGTTTTGCTGACAGAAACACAAACCCCGGCCCGGGTACCACCAGCAGCACAATTTGAAACCGTTCCTCCAAAGGGATGTGGTCCCAGTCCCTTCCACAGGGATCTGTGAGGAGACTGCCCTTCCCTGTCAGCTGGGTCTGTGACTGACAGCACCATCCATCCCTGCAAGACCAGATTTTAATTTCCTGAGTCTCCCAAGCCTTGAGAGATGAGGTGGATAAGCAGATGTGTGGTTTGTCTCTGTCACTGCGATGGAAGCAGGCAGGATTTTGCTCCAGCTCTAACTTTGCTGCTTTCCAGTGGATTGTTTGGCAGCAGCAGGCTCTGCAGGAGTGTGACTGCAGTGGAACTGAGAGGTCACCTGGCAAAGGATCCCGTGTTCCTGCCTGGAGCAAAACCCAGCTGGGACAGCGTAATTGTTGTTATAATTATGGCATATTAATTGTACAGTGGAGTAAGACTGGTTGGTAACAGGTCTGAGGATGCTGAGAATCCAAGCCCAGCCGATGCAGGGCAGGAAGGGAGTGAGTTTCAGAGCCTTTTTGGTCTGTTTTCACAGCCCATCATTTCACAGCCAGCCTGGCCAGCCTCCATCCCTGCGGAGATTCTCTCTGGCACCTCCCGTGCGCACAGGGCTCGTGGAGATCCTGCAGGCCCTGACTCCATCCTGCCTTTGTGAGGAGCTGCCTGCTAAAATAAGGGCAGAGGCACCTAAATGATCCCCCTGTGTCCTGGCTCGTCCCTGCTTTGCGTGTGTGGATGGAATTCACTCCCGTTTTCCGCGGGGGAGCGCGGTGACGCGGGGCCGTGTGTGCCGGCTGCCACACGAGCACTCCCGTTATTCCAGGAGGAATGCATTGTGCACTGACCCCCATCCCCACCCCAGGCTCTGCAGTGTGTGTCAGCCTGAGCTCAGGGGGTGTACAGATCCACTGGGGGGCTGGGAATGGGGATCCTGTGGGACTGAGGGCATTGTTTGGGCTGGACAATGGCAAAACGGAGCTTTTCCAGTCAGACTGGATTGCTCTGGGGATGTCCTGAGGGAGGGCAGCAGTGGGAGTGCAGCTGGGGGCTGTATCTCCACCCAGACAGCCTTTTTAATCAATTCCCTTTTTGGCAGAGTTTGGAGTTCCTTGGTTTCTCTGCTGGCTGGAGGGTCCCCCTGTGCCATGTCTGTGCCTCCTGCTCCAGCCTCACCTGCCCTGCCCTCTGCCCCTGCTTTAATCCCAAACAGCTGCCCTGTAACTCCTGGGCTGGCTGATGGAATAGCCTGGTGCCAACCAGGGCAGGGTGACCAAAATCCTTCCTCTTATGGCCTGTCCCAAGCTCTGATACTCAGAGTGAAACACAGCAGTAGTTACCACATCCCCCTGCTTCCTCTGGGCTTCTCCTGCACCACCTCAGCATCCAGCACCAGTCATCCAGAGTGTGAGACCTGAGCCAAGTAATTTAGTTATTCTTCAATATTAAACATGAAAAATAATCTAATTTCAATATGCAGTGTGCAAACACAGCAAGGAGGGGATGGAATTGGGGAGGTAAATCAAGGAGTCTCTTTCCCTGAGATCCATGCTGAAGGATGTTCCTCAATTTAAACTGAGGATTAAACGTCGCATTCCAATATCTTACATCTGTTAAGGAGATTAAGAACTGCAAGTCTATCTGTTAATATTTCACACCAGGGTAGGTATAAGCCAGTAAAGCACCACCTCATTAGCGTTGTCAGACTCCATTTTAATGAGATTTTTATTAACGACCAACATGACCTTTTGCTCCCTCTTAAGTCTCCGATATTGATTTGCCCAGGAAAGCGAAGGCTCTCCCTGTGCTGCTGAGCTCTGGGAGCTGTGGCTGCCCCCTGGGTCCTGCTGCAGGAACCATCCCCAGCCGGGCTGGGAAAGGCAGCTGCAATCCTCGGGGATGGCTTTCACAGAGGGAATGCTGGCTGCCAGGGCTGCCAGCGTCCCTTCCCTGTGCCCTGCAGGCCCTGGATGTGTTTCCCTGGCCAATAACCCCCTCCCTCTGCCCCGCAGGTGCTGCTGAGCCAGGTGCACCGGCTGCGAGCTCTGGATCTGCTGGGGAGGTTCCTGGACCTGGGGCCCTGGGCTGTCAGCCTGGTGCGTGGGAGCTGCACGTGGGCTCCAACCCTCTGCTCGCCCCAGCAGCGCTGATCACAGCAGCTGCTGGTTTAGGGGAGGGAGGTGGGGAGGATAATGCTCACATCTGACACATGACCGTGTTTGTGAGCTCGTGTGTGGGCAATGCAGGAGTGGCCCTGCCACAGGAGAGGTTCAGCACAGCCAGCCCCGTGTTCATTGCCAGCACAGCACAGGGGAGTTCCCTGGGAACACTTAAGTGTAAAACAATGTAAGGGACAAACCAAGAGGAAATATCTGGGGCAGGTAAGAAGGTTTATCATATAAAATAAGTAGCCAAAAAAAGCATGTGCATTTATTATGTGTTCTTTCAGCTTACTGGCTCCTTTATCTGTTTGGTGTGTGGATTTTACAAGCTCTTCTGAGCAGGCAGCAGCTGCAATCTGCAGTTTGGGAAGTGGCAGCATAGTGTGGAGCATAAATAAGAATTAAACAGAGGAGCAGTTTAAAGCACTCCCGTAAATGGAGCTGTTTGTTGATAAAAGTGATCAAGATGAAGCAGCAGCTGGTCCTGGAGCAGCTCAGTGATGGGACTTTTTAGAGCTTTGCTTTACCTCCTCCTGGAGAGACCTGTTAATTTCCAGTGGGAGGGCTGGAATTCCTGAATTTGTGACGTGTGTAGTTGGGAGAGCCCCAGCTGAGGGAAGTGAGGATATGGAGCACAAAACAGACTGAGGAGAGGAAGCTGGTGCTGGATTGACTCAGAGTCTCCTTGGACCAAATGAAAATACCTGGTGACATTCAGGATATAAATGAGCAGCAGATGAACACACAGGGATCCCCTCTTTACTGGAAACGTGGGAAATGATTTCCAGATTTCCCAGCTGTGTCTGTAAAGATGCTGCATCCCGTGCCCTGCTGGGGTGCTGAGCTGCCAGGGGGGTTTGCTGCCAGGGTTTTACCGACAGGGATTTGTTCTCTCCCTCCCAGGCCCTCTCTGTTGGCATTTTCCCCTATGTGCTGAAGCTCCTCCAGAGCTCAGCCCGTGAGCTGAGACCTCTCCTTGTGTTCATCTGGGCCAAGATCCTGGCAGTGGACAGTGTGAGTATTCCTGCCCCAGCCTGGCTCCTCAGCCAGAGCTCTGCTTGCTGGGGTTTCAGATCACTAATGAAGCTGGTAAGTAATTGCAGATAAATTTGTGGAGTCGCATCTCTGACTCAGGGGTTTGTGGGTGCAATTAGTTGAGCGTTATAGAATTATTAGGAGAGGTGCACACATTAATTCAGGGACAATTGCAAGTCCGTGTGGAATGTCTGCAGTGCTGTGGAGGTTGGATCTTTCCTCTTTGGGGGTTATTTTTGTGTCTCTCCTCCATTTCAGTCTGGAGCATAGTGCTGAATTTGTGAAGGTTTTCCTGCTGGTGATCCAGCATTGTCAGGTTTAGCTCTATAACAATATTTTCATTAACATCCTAAGAAGATTTGGGAAAGCAAAGAAAATAAAACCTATTCATCTTGGAGCTGTTCTGGAAAAGCTCATTTGTGGTGCACTGAGGCTGGTGCCTCAGCCCCAGGTGTGTGCCAGAGGCTCAGGTGAGATTCCAGGTGCTGCTGGGCTCTTCACCCCCTGCCCCTCACACGTTCCCTCCATTCCCCTGGCATTGCCTCACTTGTTTGCAGGCTGGGCTTTAGATCAAAACAGAAATAAATACTCTGAAATGGTGGGTTTGGGTTTCTCTGTGCTGCTTCACTCCCTCATTCCAGCAGCACGTGGTGGGAGTGGGAAGGGAGGAGGGGGCAGGCTCCCCAGGGAAGTGCTGTGGACACTGCTGAGGGAGGGGACAGGCAGCAGCTCCTTGCAAACAGGATATTTCCTGTCAGTTCTGAACTTGCACACCAAGCCTGCAGCCTGCTTTGGTCATGCTGGGTTATTACTCACAGTGGAGCTGTTTATTCCACCAGGAGGAGGAGGAGGAGGAGGTGTCAGTGGCGCTGGGCTCCCGTGTGGTTCCCCAGAGCTCAGCAGGGAGGGGTGAGCTCTGGCTTTGTGGCATTGCCTCCCTGGGAGCCCCAGGAGCATGGTCTGGCTCCCCTCTGCTGCTGGAGCCTGCAGAGGAGCCTGGGAATGGCTGTGTGAGGAGCAGAGATGCTGACCCTGGAAGCAGAGGGGACAGAACCTGGGAATGGCTGTGTGAGGAGCAGAGATGCTGACACTGGAAGCAGAGGGGACAGGGAACCTGGGAATGGCTGTGTGAGGAGCAGAGATGCTGACACTGGAAGCAGAGGGGACAGAACCTGGGAATGGCTGTGTGAGGAGCAGAGATGCTGACACTGGAAGCAGAGGGGACAGAACCTGGGAATGGCTGTGTGAGGAGCAGAGATGCTGACCCTGGAAGCAGAGGGGACAGGGAGCCTGGGAATGGCTGTGTGAGGAGCAGAGATGCTGACCCTGGAAGCAGAGGGGACAGGGAACGTGCAGCGTGCAGGAGCTGGGGAAGCCCTGGTAGCTGCAGCCTGGCAGCAGTCCAGACTCCTGGCTCTGCCAAAACCAGCAGCTTCAGCACTAAAATATTCTCTTGCATCTCTGCCTTGCCATCCCCGCCCCTTTCAGCAATTAGTTCCCTCCTTCACCTTCTCCCCCTGATGAAAAATGCATGATCCTGTCTCCGACACAGCCGTGCCACAGGGAGCTGATGCCAAGCCAGGCTTTCCTCCCTTCCATTTTCACTTTCTCCATGTGGATCCTCCTGGAGTGACCCTGGAACATCAGCCTGGAGCCTGAGCTGGAGTGTCAGCAAAGCTCGGAGCTCCCCAGGAACCCCCTTGTGCTCCCCAGGGGCTGCTCTGCGCTCTGGGCTGGCTGAGTAGGAGATATCAAAGTGCTGGGCAGCTTTAATGTGGCTCCTTCCACTCTTGCCCAGAGCAGGAGCTCCCATTTGCTGCTGTTTGTGGCACTGTGGGAGTGGCAGAGCCTGCCCTGGCCCTGTGGGACTGTCTGGGTGCAGCCCCCAGGAAGGGCTTGAGCTTTATTTGGCTTCTCAGATGAAAGCAAGGTTGGATAGAAGTGGTTAAGAAATGCAAGGTTTATCCTGGAGGAACAGACGTGTGTGTTGTGGTTCTCACTGTGGTTTTCTTGGTCTCTTTTGCAGTCGTGCCAGGCTGACCTGGTGAAGGACAATGGACACAAGTATTTCCTCTCAGTCCTGGCAGATCCTTACATGCCAGTAAGGACAATTTATCCAGACTCTGTGGCCTTTGCTTGCCTTGTGGCCCCAGAACAGCAGTGAAAACGTGGGGCTGCCTGCAGTGGCACGCAGTGCTGTGCTGGGCAGAGTCAGTGCTGGGCTGTGTGACTGGGGCAGCCACACCAGCCAAGGTGTTACAAACTCACCTGGAGCTCTGCGAGCCGGGTCTGTGTGAGGGGGGGCTCCAGGGTGGCTGCAGGAGCAGGGAGCTGTCCCATGGCTTTGACAATTCCCCAGCAGCAGCTGGGCTCCCTTCAGGGGTGTGTGGGGGTCTCCCCACGGCAGGAGGCTGGGAGGATGCTGGGGAAGTGTCTGGGGTGTAGCTGATGCCAAGAAAGGGGAAAGAAAACTGGAATTGTGTCATTCTTTCAACGTGGCACAAACTGCTCTTGGGTGATGCCGTGTTTCAGGGTGTAGCTGTTCCCTGCCCTGTTCCCCAGGTAACCCTCAGTCTGCCTTGTTTTCAGGCTGAGCACAGGACCATGACAGCCTTCATCCTGGCTGTGATTGTCAACAACTACAACACTGGCCAGGTGAGTCCCAGCAGCCTTTTCCCTCCATCCTCTCCCAGCTCTCTCTGCCTCACGCCTTTGCTTTGGTAAAAGTGTCCTGGCTGGCATTAAAGCCCAAACCTGAACTTGGAAACAGAACTAGGACGTCGGTATTTGTTATTTCTGTGTGGATTAAGAGAAGAATTGGCCTGGAGATGTGACAGACATTCTGTACCCAGCACCTGGCAATGGGGGACAAGGACAAGAGTCCCTTCACAGCCACTGGCACAGAAAGGTCCCTGATCCTGCCCAGTGGGAACCTGGGAATGGTCTGTGGATTCAGCCATAAACCTTGGGGCTCTGACAGGTGCAAGGAATGTTTCCAAAGAGGGAAAACCAAGCTTTATGCATTACAGAAAGCATTTTAATGCTCAATTATTTCATCAACTCTACTGCCTTTCCCTTCATACTGCTGGTATTCTGTAACAAAATCAGTCTGGAACCACTGAATGATTATTCTCTCTTGGCTTCCTGACTCCTTCAGAAATATCTCCTTCTGTGGGGATGAGGTGGGAAGCTGTCATCCCAAACAAAGGCTTGGTTTGTGTTGCAGGAAGCCTGCCTGCAAGGGAATCTGATAGCGATCTGCCTGGAGCAGCTGAACGATCCCCACCCGCTCCTCAGGCAGTGGGTGGCCATTTGTCTGGGGAGGATCTGGCAGAACTTCGACTCAGCCAGGTGGTGTGGAGTGAGAGACAGCGCCCATGAGAAGCTCTACAGCCTCCTCTCAGATCCAATCCCAGAGGTAAAAATCCATTTCTTCTGGTAAAAGCCACAGAAGTTCCTGCAGAGCAGGGCCTCCTGGAGCTTTGTGTTTGTGTCTGGTTCAGAGGAAGATCTTGCTGCTGTTTCTTCAAGGTGATGCAAATCCAACAAGCCCTGCAAGAGGAGCTTCCAAAGAAATGCAGAGGGAGTTCACAGAGCCCCAAACCCCCGGGACACTGCAGTTAGGAAATGCCACGGTTTTTGCTTCCTTGCATATCAGAAGCTGTTAAAAATGTGGTCCCAAAGCTCACTGTGTTTTGCAAAAAACCCTCTAGTCTTTTTGTCCAAGTGTGAAAACTCTTCTCCCCCTGCTGATTGTGGAAATGCATCTTTAATTGGCTGTGTTTTACCTTTGTGACACTCCCAGGAGAGGAGGGATTGTGCAGGGCCTGGCAGTGACTGACAGAGCCCATCACACCCAGCACACACACTGGGAGAAGGGAGCTGAGATAAACAGCTCAGATAACGTGCAGAGATTGGAGATGAGACTCCCCTCCACATCCAGTCTCTGTCCTGCATCCTCCTCCTCCTGCTCCTGGCCTGGTCCTCCCCACTTTTGAGCAGTGTTTCTGCAGAGGTGGGGTGGCTTTCCACAGTTTTCCCTGATTTTTCTCCTTTTTTCCATCATCTACCTTGCCATAATCCCATCCCTGAAGACTGTAGTCAGCACTCTTATAAAATACCCACATCCCAGCAGGAGCTGTGTGTACCTCGTTCCTGTTAATTAATATTCAAGGCAACACCAACTGGAGGAGTCCCCCACGGGAAGGCAACTGAGTATTCTGGGAAATTAAACACATCCTGCATCTGCAAACGCTCAAAGCTGACTTTGCTGAGGCTGCTGGGGGTGCTGCTCCCCACGGGCTCCGCGCTCACCTGGCACAGGAGTTTGGGTTTCCAGCGCTCCCGTTTGTGGGGGGGAGCAGAACCCCGCTGGCAGCAGAGGGGACAGCAGGGCTGTTTGTGTCCCCAGGTTCGCTGTGCCGCTGTCTTTGCTCTGGGCACCTTTGTGGGCAACTCAGCGGAGCGCACGGACCACTCGACCACCATCGACCACAACGTGGCCATGATGCTGGCCCAGCTCATCAACGACGGCAGCCCCATGGTCCGCAAGGTAGGGCTGGGCCCAGCCCCTGCTCTGCCCCCACTGCTGCCCCCCTGCCTTCCCTGTGCTGAGCTCTGCTCCCTGGAAAGGCCTCCCCACCTTTAGAGCCCCAGGGATGGATCGCAGGCTGCTCCAGAGTGGCTCTCCAGCTCTGGGAGAGTTACGGTTTCTGATGCACCATCGTACATCAACAGTACATTAAATGGTTTTTGACGTTGTGGATTGTTTTTGAGGGCTGTTCTGAAGTGTCCTAATGTTTGTGTTTACTTTACTGGAACATCAACACCCTGGCAGTTGTCACCAGCACGGCAAAGATTCATTTCTGTTGTCTCGTTCCAGCATTTAATCAGTTTAATTCAGGAGAGAGCTGTGTGTCACACTGAATGCTCTGTGAGATTCATAAATCTCTCCTTGGGAGATCAGTCCCTGAGCAGAGACAGCAGCCAGAGGCAGCTCTGTGTCCTGGCTGCTGCTCCCAGGGGCCAGGCAGGAGGTGCCTCCTGGAGGGGCTGGGTGGGCTGAGAGCCCCCAGCCCCTGAGGGAGCCACACACATCTATGGGCTGGGCCAGGTTCAGGCTGACAAACTTGGGCAGAGCCAGCCACAGAACCCCAGCAAGGTTTGGGTTGGAAGGGACCTTAAAGCTCATCTGTTTCCTCGTGCCCCTGGGCAGGGACAGGTCCCACTAGAGCAGGGGAGGAATCCTGTCCAGCTGGAAAAGGCTTGGGAGGAGTTAAGTGTGAGACAGGGTCCTGTGGCTTTCTGCAGTTCACACCTTGAATTAAGGGACAGTGATCACCCTGGATGGCCCCCCAGTAATGCCAGCAGTACTGGTCAGTGTTTGCCTGCAGTCCTTGTTTCTCACCTGTGCAGCCCTGAGATGTTTCTTGTGCTCTTTCTGCAGGAGCTGGTGGTGGCCCTGAGTCACCTGGTGGTTCAGTACGAGAGCAATTTCTGCACCGTGGCCTTGCAGTTCATAGAGGAGGAGAAGAATTATCCTCTCCCTTCTCCTGCTGCTCCAGGTGGGGGCTTGGCTGTGGCTGGGCAGGAGATGTAGGCCTTGACAGTACTTGGGAATTATTTAAGGAGTTTTGCTAACACAGTGAGCTGGTTGCTGGTGGGGATTTATTAAAGAGCTCTGTTGTGACATGGTGAGTGATGGGGAGGGGAGATCTGTCTGTCTGTCCAGCCCTGTGAGAACTCCTGTTACACTGGAGAAATCCATCCTCCACTGAGCCCCCACCTCAGCCTTGGCTGTAGCTCACCAGGAGCCTCCTGCCCCGAGAGGAATTCTTTCCAGCTCAAGGCTGAAGGATTTGGCCAAGGCAGCACACAGGCTTATTTTGTTTTTCCCCTCTGGAATCACACCTGAATGTTCAGTGTCACGCTGACCTGGTGAGAGCTCCACAACACCAAGAGCCAGCCCTGCTGCTGTGAGGGCCAGACGAGGAGGGGAAGAGCTCTGTGCTCTGAGCCTGTGGCCCCATCCCTTTTGCTGTGTTTGTGGCTTTATGTGAGGAATGAAATGTCCTGGTGAAGTTATCTCGAACTTCACCTTCTCTTTAGATGGAAATCTTGAAGAATGAGAGGAGAATCTTGGAGACAAGACTGTGTGCTGTCTCTGCACAGAGTGGTTTAGTGTCCCTGTCCTCTGAATAACTGAATCATATTGGAAAATGAGCTCCTCCCCATTTGCTGCAGGAAACAAACACTGCATGCAGTTTGTACAGGGCTTTTCCTGATCCCAAAGAATCCTGAGGTAGGATGCTCTGGAAGCATTGGCCCCCACCACAGTGCAGCCACTCTGCAGGGCAGCAGAGCAGCTCTCCTGACGCCGTGGTGTGTGAAATATGACTTGAAATCAGGCCTGAAGTTTAGTCAGGGAACCAGAACTCTCATAGCTCCTGATGATGAGAAAATCCAGGTGGGTTTGATGAGCAGCAGCAGAGAGGAGCTGGCTGATGCTGCCTCAGACTGTCCTGGCACAGCCCCATCTGCACAGAAGAGTCCCCTGGGCTCACCTGGCCTCGCTGGGTGTCCCAAAGTGCCACTTTGATCCACTGCTGTGCCTCCTTCCCCTTTAGCCTAGCACAGAATGACAAATCCCGTTCCCATCAGTGGTGTTTCCATTCCATTTGCTGGGAAATAACCCAGGGGCTGTGGCTGGGTTTGTTTCCAGCCATAACTGCTGCTCTTGCCTCGCAGAGGGCGGGAGCCTGACCCCGGTGCGGGACGGGCCCTGCACGCCGCGCCTGCGCTCCGTCAGCTCCTACGGCAACATCCGCGCCGTCACCACCGCCAGGAACCTCAACAAGTCCCTGCAGAACCTCAGCCTCAACGAGGAGTGTAAGACTGGAGAATTCTTCCACTTTTCACGCCCCTTGTGCCAGCCAGGAAACACCACGGGCAGGACAAGGCAGGAACTGGCACTTCAGCCCAAACTGTCCAGCTCCGAGGGCTTGGATGAGGAGCCCTCTCGTAATTAGTTGTAATTTTCTGGTCGTTAGCATTGATTTTTCTGAGCATCTGGGGACTGAAAATGTGCCTTCCAGCTTCCAAGCATAAGTGGATTTTTAACTCAATCTTTTGCTTATTCTGTGTTTAATCATTCAGTATTAAAGAGGGGAATTTTGGCTCTGCCCCCTCGGTAAGGGGCTTCCTTCCCTGGGTGTGGCATCATTTAGAGCAGGGCTGTTATGTCTGGGTGAAAATTGTTCCCTCAGTCCTCGTTGCAGCATCTGTGTTGTGTCCTGGCAGCTGGGAGCTCGGTGGCGTTCTCCCCTGGGAACCTGAGCACGAGCAGCAGTGCCAGCAGCACGCTGGGCAGCCCCGAGAACGAGGAGTACATCCTGTCCTTCGAGACCATCGACAAGATGAGACGAGTCAGCTCCTACTCCTCCCTCAACTCCCTCATAGGTGAGCACAAACCCTCCTGCCCTTCCCCTCGTGCCTGTGTGCAGGGTTGGCATCCTGGCTCCGACACTTGCTCTCCCTGTCGTGCGTGGCTGGGTCACTCCAGTGGAGGGATGGGAGTGGGAGCTGCTGGCTGCGGTTCTGAGCTTCACTGCAATCCTGTCAGGGAATTCAGGCACAGAAATGTGGGGGCCACAACAGCTTTGCCTCAAATTACCTGCAGCTTTTCAAACCATCTGAGCCATTTTGGCACAGCATGGCAGGCACCATGCAGAAAGACCTGGCTTTTGGAATGGCCTCCTTCCAGGGAAAGCAGCATGCACAGGGAAATGCTGGGGGAAGTCTCCATATTTCCTCTGTAATCAGTAAATGGGCCCATATTTTCACTAATCAGTGCAAAGAGAGGGAGAAACCACCTGGGTGACAGAACTGCCTTGACCAAAGAAACGTTTCCTCTGCTCTGTTTTTTAGGAGAATTAATGGTGATTTGGCTCGCCTGAGTTGAAAGATTCAGGGATTGTAATTACTGAGCCCCTGTGGCAGTTTAAAATCATGAGTTCATTAGGAACTTGATCAGTTAATTTGCTTTTGATTATCAGTAATGACATTGGATCTTCTGAAGCATGGCAGGGATGTTAGGAAATTTCTCTCCATCTTGAGCTAGGACTTGAGTTTTCCCCATTCCCACTGGTGATGGCTGGTGGGTGTCTCACAGGAGCTGTGCAGCACAGCTGGAAAAGGCTCTGGAGAGGAGCTGGAGGTGGTGAGGGGAACCTTGGAAAGAGAGAGCAGCTCTCCAAGGCATCCCTCACTCCTGTTCCATCAAAGAGCTCAGACCCAGCTGGAAGTGCAGAGCTTAGAGAAGTGTTTAAAATTCATGACTCGCACAGAATCCCATTACCTCCCCATTTGCCTGCTGCAAGCCAGGCTTTTCTCATTCCTTCTGAAGCATCACCATCCTCCAGCCCTGTCTCCTGCTCCACAAGGAGAGATGCCACCAGCCCCAGCCACCCCCAGAGCTCTGCAGCCCAGGCTGACCCCGTTCCTCAGTGTCCTGATGTGCCTTCAGCTGCAGGGGGCTGGGGGAGCCCAGTGGGGCAGGGACCTGTGACTGAGGGAATGCTGTGCTCTGCTCTGTCTCTTCTGAAAGGGGAAATGGGGCTCTGGCTCTGCAGCAACACCCCTGCCAGGCATCTGAGACAGCCAGAGCAATGAAAAAGATGTTTGGGGCACGTGAGGAGACTCCAAGTGAAGCAGAAATCTCGTCTGTAAGAGTGAAAGGAGAAATTTTCAGCCACACACAGCCACACACAGCTGTGTTCTGTGCTCTACATTCCCTAAGCTGATTCACTGATTGCAGAATTCCAGATTGGTTTGGGTTGGGAGGGACCCTAAAGCCCATCCCTGCCATGGGCAGGGACACTTTTTCCACTGTCCCAGGCTGCTCCAAGCCCAAGCTTGGACACTCCCAGGGGTCCAGGAGCAGCCCCACCCTGCTGATGCTCAGCTCTTTGTTCCTCTCTGGCAGTTTGGTGTGTGAGGGATTGTTCTGGATCAGTCCCTGCACTGGCACTGAGGCATCATACAACATCCTTCTTGCCAAAGACTTGAGGAGAACCTCTCCATTCCTCCTTGTCCCGTTTTACAAACAGTTCTTTAGCTAGCTGTGGGCCAGATATTCCCATTGTGGCTCCCCAAATGCAGCAACACTCGCTCTCAGCCGAGCTCTGTGTTCTCTGGCAGCTGCTCCTTGGCCACACGGGCCAGTACCAGGAGAGACATTCATTTCTGGCCCAGTTTCCAGCTGGCAAGAGGCAGTTTGTGGTTAGTCAACAAAGACATCATTTTGGAAGGGAAGCTGAGCCTTGCCGCTTTTCCATACAGCCACTCATTAATCTTGGTGTCCTGGAAATGTTCAGCTTTAGGATAGGAAAAGGGATGGAATTAAGAGGGGGGTTTGCACACCTCGAGGCTGATTATTCATATCCAAACTGCACGATGAAAGCCTTTGTCCTACAGAGAGCTTCGCTGGAAAGATTATCTTCAGGAGTGATCAAAGAAGGAGGAAAATAAATCTTGGAGCGATGAAATGCTGGGGAATTGTTGTATTTTCCAGCAGGAGAGGTTGGGGGTGGAGAACTGTTTGCCATTTCCCAGGATCTGCCTCGGAGTAGGAGTGAGGGCGGAGGTTGCTGCAGTGAGGATGAGGAGAGCAGAGGTGGAGGTGGGCAGAGAGGGGCAGGGGAGCCTCCCACTCTCACTGTGTTCATGCACTGAGATAATGAGGAGCTGGTCAGCCAGCAGTGTGTGCAACTGGCAGCAAAATCCAGGGATCCAGGTGGGGTTTGGAATCGGGAATTTGCTGGGAGGGGGCTGTGTCTCCTCTGTGTCTCCCTGCTGTGAGGCCAGCTCTGGCCAGGGGTGCCTGCTCTGAGGAAGCTCCTCAGAACGAGCTGCTCCTGGCTCCTGTGGGAGCGTGGGAAGCTCCTCTGGAGCTGCTGAGGGTCAGAGCGAGCTCCTGCAGGGCCCTGGGAGGGCTCAGGTGTGCAGGGACCGAGCTGTGCCCGCAGGGACCCGGCTGTTCCCCCAGCAGAGCCCCGGGAATTTCGGGTGTCCCCATCTGTGGGATGCTCAGGGACGGAGCAGCTGTGATGGGAGCAGCTCCCCGAGTCCTCGGGGCTGAGATGTTTCAGCTGCATCTCCCTGCACCCCAAGGCTGCGTTCCCTGTCCCTGTGTGCCTGTCTGGAGGTTTCAGTGCTGTCCCTCCCCAGGAGCTGACTCGGGGCCAGGTGAGCAGGGAGCAGCTCTGGTTTTGCTGCAGTGCCCGTGGGAAGTGGAACTGCCCCATCTGTGGAGGTCAGGGCTTGAAATCACTGCAGTGATTTTTACAGGGGATTGGAAAGAAACCCTGTCCCAGCCTGGCAAATCAAAGGGAATAAATAAAGCCATCAGCAGTCGGGTTTGCATCCACCGTGGCTCTCCCTGAGCTGCTGGAGCCCAGCCCGTCCTTGGGGCTCACAGGTGAACCCAGCCCCACGTGTGTGGGGAAAATCAAACCTGGGGAGAAGGCAGGCAATTTATTTTTGACATTCTTAGCAGGGAGGGATCATTTTGTGAACACATGCAAGGTGCACTGACCTGGCTGGGAGTCGGTGTGACTAATTACAGAGCTGTCTGCTTCCATTAATGGCCAGCCCCTGCTCGGCTCCTGCTTTTGCATCTCAGGGACAGTTTGGGCACTGGGAATGTGAAATGGAGCTGCTGCTCCTCCTGCCCCCTCTGCTGCTCCCCTTTCCCAGGGGCTGGAGCTCAGGAGCTGCCAGGGAGCTGTGTCAGATGTGTCAGTCCTGCACTGACTGGGGCGCTGGCAGCAGGGAAGAGCAGCCCTGAGCCCCAGGTGCCTTTGCAGAAATTCCCTGTGTTCTCCTCAAAGGCTGCCAGGTGAAGGGGGAATTGCACTGGCACGGTTCTGCTTAAAATTTGGTTTTTCCCTGACACTTAGATGTATAAAAAATGTCGCTGGGTTTCTTTCTCTGTGAGCAAGGTGGTTATCAGAGCCCTTGGGAAATCAGAGGGTGCCCCCCTCACTCTTCCTCCTCTCCCTTTCCTTTTACTCTCTTTCAAGGGCTTTAAAGAATTGAAGGCATCCCGATTTCCCAGCGGCCCTTATGTAACAGGCTGGAGTGTGGGAGGCAGAGCTCTGGGCACAGCTCTGGGCACACCTCAGACGTTACCTGGCTGCTGCTTCACGAGCTGAGCCTTTTTTCCTCCCACTCCTTGTAGCACTTTGCCTCTCTCCCTTCTTGTTCTTTATCCTTCCCCCTCCAGTTTTTTTCTTTCCTTGGTAATAGAAGCTTCCAGGATTTAACATTGTTATATATTTACAGCCTTTGCAATTTTACGGTATTATATAAATATTATACAATATTGCATAAATATATGTTTACAGCCATTACAATTTACAGCCATATAACAATTTACATTGTTGGAGGTTTTACAGCCCTGCCAGTGCCTAAAGGGGCTCCAAGAGAGCTGGAGAGGAGATTTCCACAAGGGCCTGGAGTACCAGGACACAGGGGATGGCTTCCCTCTGCCAGATGGGTACTGGGGAGAAATTCTTCCCTGTCAGCAGGGTGAGGCCCTGGATCCCTGGCAGTGTCCCAGGCCAGGCTGGAATAACCTGGGGTTGTGGAAGGTGTGGATTTTAAGTGCCCAAGCACGGTGGGGTTCTGTGGTTTGTCAGGCCCTGTCCCTGGGCTGCCTTGGGAGGGTTGGGATCAGCCGCAGGATCCGCCTGGGCCACCCCCAGCACACGAGCAGCACGGGCTGGGTGCTGCCTTCAGAAACACCTGGGAGATTTCCAGGTGCCAGTTCAAGCAGGTGTCACTTGGAACATCCTTTGGGTGCCAGGTGAGAGGGAGGGGTTGGGTTTGGGGGCTGCCTTGGCCCTTTGCAGGGGGATTTGTCACAATCTGGGCAGAGGAAGGTTCCCCTTTCAGATCAGCAGCCAAGGGCAGCCCGCAGGCTCCTGGAGCCTGTTGCTGCTCCCAGCAGTGCTCAAACTGCTCTGTCCCAGCCTGCTGTGCTGGTTTAGGGATCAGCTTTACTCTGCCAGGTGAGGAGCTGCTCGGTGACCAAGGGGCCCTTTCCTCCCAACTTTATATTTAGATGCCTCCAGAAACACGGGAGGAAAAGCAGTAACAGCTTGATCTGTCATTTAGCACTGATTGTGACTCATCTGAAATCTCTATTTTAGCTCTTTTTTTTGTTGTTAGTGCAACCACTTTAACATTGTCCAAATGGCTCCACTCCCAGCCGGGGCGTTGCACGATCAGACACCGGCAGGCTTTGGAGGCAGAATAACAAATTCTCACCCAAAAGCAGCAAAATAAAATGTTCACGGAATTTTGTCAGTTGTTGCAAATGCTTATTAATTTGATTTGTACTTTGAATCTGTCAGTCCCTTCTGCTGAAATACTGAACAGCTGATCTGCTCATTAAATAACAAATTGGAGGAATTGATACAAATGTCAATAGGAAAGACTGAGTTGGACTCGCTGATTCCTGGGGGCTCAACTCCTAAAGCTTTGCTTTAAACACTTAGGAAACTTGCAGAGTGTCCAGAGCCCTGAGCAATTCCATAGAAATAAGCACAGCAGTCTCAGGCAGTGACTGTGGATTTACACCACTAGGTATTTCATCTCAGGAAACCCAGACATGATCCACTCAGCCTTTCCAGGTGATTTGCTTCCGGAGCCTGGAAAAGCAGGAGTTTGACTGGAGATGATTTAGGGAGTCTTCAATTTATTTTGCTTCCCCTCACTTTGATTTCACAAGCCCTCACAGAGTTCACAGACAGGCAAAAGGGAGACAAAATGCCCATGTGGGATGTTTTTGAGCTCCTCTCTTGATGTTCCCTGAGATGTCATCGGGTTGTTTGGAGTTCTAATGAATTTTCTCACGTCAGATCAAAGAAGCGGAGTTGATGGATTGTCATGTGCTGCAGGGCTTTGGGCTTTGTTGTGTTTTTTTATTATTCTAGGTGTGAGTTTCAACAGTGTTTATACCCAGATTTGGAGGGTGCTCCTTCACCTGGCTGCTGACCCCTACCCCGACGTGTCCGACCTGGCCATGAAGGTTCTCAACAGCATTGCCTACAAGGTATGTGCCTGTGCCTGCCAGCTGCTTGCATCTGGATCTTTCCATGCTCAGGCAAGGCTTAGGCAGGCTGACCTGGATGGGTCTGTTGGAGTGCTCTGCCTTTTGCAGAAGGAGCTTTTAACGCTTCACCATGCTAAACTCTGCTCTGAACTCTTGATCAGGTAAAATGAATAAATGGGGGAGGGCCTGGGGTTGTTTTAGGGTATAAATTAGGTGCAGACCTCGGACTGTAGGTCTGGTTTAGAAGTCTACTTGTCTAGATCAGTCCCTGGGATAAACCTTAAGTATCCTTCATTAAATTATCCGTTTGCAAACTGATTTAGATAATGCAAGTGGGACTGGCCTGCAGACTGAAGCCACAACGGCTCTCCAACCCAGGTGAACTAGTACATGTGAGTCAGCATGCAGACCCCTGCCACTCCTCACCCCAGCCCAGGCTGGGTGCCTAAACCTCCATCCTCATCCCATCTCATCCTGGGGGTGACAAGATGTCCCTGGAGGTGCCACCCTGGGGCAGCACCTTCCCCCTGCCCAGGCCAGGACATCTTCCCACCCCGTGCGTCCCCTGGCTGGGCACAGAAAGCTCTGTGTGAACCTTTCTGGCCACTCCAGCATCCAGACCATGAGCCATTGCACTGGGAGCTCTCTTACTGGGCCTTTCCAGGGAACAACCCCAGATCCTCAGCCTGGGGCGGGGAGCTGGAGCTGCAGTAAGAGATGCCAGCATTGTGCACTGCCATCTTAATGCCTCAGAGATCTCTGCTTTGAAATCACATCTTCTCTGGAGACAGGAGTTACTGGCTTGAGCTCTGGTTTGTTTGAGGTGCACGTGCCAGTGAGTGGTAAGGGCTGGGTTTGGGACAGAGAATCCTCTTGGCAGTGGGGGCAGCGAGCTCAGCCCTTCCCTGGCGAGACAGGGGTACAACAAATGACAGGCTGGAGATGCCAAATGAGGGGAAGAAGGAAAGGAAAAGGTGGAAGATTTCCCTCTCTCTGCTCTGGATGCATGAAACTGTTTCAGTTCTGCGTTTGGAAGGCTCTTTGCAAAATGAAATGTTATTAAAAGGGATATAAAGAGGACCCAGATCTGCTTTTCCTGCCTGAAATGGGTTTTCAGGAGTTGCTTCCTGGCCAATGGGGAGGCGGATGGGGATCGATGTTGATATCGATGCTGCTGTGCCAGCAGGAGCTGTGATCATTCCGTTGTCATATCCCCAGGGAATGCTGGCACTGCTGGGGGGAGTTGTGTGTTGTCTCTAGCAGTGTGGGGCTGGCTGTGCTGGTGCTGACCCGAGTCCCAGAGCGCAGGTGATGGGTCTCACGCATCTCACCCTGCACGGCTGGGCCAGCTGCTCTGCCCCTGCTTCCTACGGCAACAGCTCTTCCAACAGCCTTGGAAAACAGGAAGCATTCCCATTTGCAAGGATTTTTATCTGGGGATGCTTCAGCGAACAAAACTGATTTGTTCTTCTTTGCCTTAGCCCCGAGATCCACAAGGCAAATGTTCAGCCCTGGGCTGGCTGCTGCGCACATCGGGGGCTTCGCTTTGGCCAGCACCACCTGCCTTGGGTGGCTTCTAACAGGGCTTTTTAACGAAAACAAAACCCCCAAAACACAAAGCACCCAGCCTGTGACCTGCCCACCTCAGGGGGCTTTAAGGCTCAGCTCCTGGGCTGGCCTTTCCTGCCCCGCTCTGGCTGTGCCGTGGGCGGTGGTGCCGGAGCACGGCCGAGCTCCAGGCTCTGCTGGGAGCTCAGGCAGGAGCTGGCTGGTGTCTGATGCAAATCAGTGACAATTAAAGCTTTGCTCACTGTGTCCTGAGACCTTTCCTTCGTGCTGATGGAGCTTGTTGGATGTAGAGGGGAGCGCTGGACGTGGGCACCGCTCCTCCCCAGTGTGTGCAAGCACTGCCCACTCGGGGCTTGAATTTTACCAGTAAATGCAAACAAAAATTGTTCTTCTTGCCTAAACAAAAACACTGCCTCAGGTGATGTAAAACACTTGAATGTTCCAGGGGTTTCATATTTTGGTTTAATTACTGTAAAATTCAGGGAAGGAGAGGCTTCAATTTGGAGCTGGGCCAGCTGAGGTTTTCTCCTGTTGGCACAGCTGAGCAGAACGCTGTGGTCTGGGGGACCTGGCTGGGGCTGGGGGCTTCAGGGGGAGCAGCTGACCAAGCTATCCATGGGCTTCCACATCTGGAGAGTGTTGGGGGACCAAACATTGCAGAACCATGCAATGGGTTGAGTGGGAAGAGACTTTAAACTCATCCCGTCCCACCCCTGCCATGGCAGGGACACCTTCCCCTGTCCCAGGTGTCCCATTGTGCCAATGTCCAGCCTGGCCTTGGGCACTGCCAGGGATCCAGGGCAGCCCCAGCTGCTCTGGGCACCTGTGCCAGCTTTCCCCACCCTCACAGGAGGGAATTTCTTCTCAATGTCCCATCCAAGCCAGCCCCTCTGGAGACATTCCAAAGGCCCTGGAGCCGTTCCTGTGTCACCTGCTCCAGGTGGCCCTACCTTGGCAGGGGTTTGACCTGGGTGATCTCCCGAGCTCCCTTCCATCCCCACTGCTCTGAGATTGTGTGATTGTCGTTACCAAACGAGACCAGAGTGTCCTGCTCAGGTTTTTAGTGGAGCCAGGGCTGTGGATGTGTTTGTGCAGAAGGGCTGTGGGGCTGTGCTGGGTGTGAGCAGCCGGTGTGTGGGCTGCCCAGGCGTGCAGCCTTCCTGCAGGGAATCTGCTGCTCTTCTGTTCCCTGCGCTCATTAGGCACTGCTGGGCCTCACCCAGGCTGCGGCTGCCTTGGGATTTATGTTTATGATGCAGATGGGAATGGTGCAGTCCTTCCCGGCCTGAGCCTTGGAAAATGCCCAGACCTGCTTTTTGTGAGCACCAAAACAAACAACAAGGAGCCAGGGTTCAGTGTTGGCCTCCAGAGACTTTCTGAAATCAAAAAGTCTTAAAGAGGAACGTTTGCTTCGGCCCAGGTTGCTTTGTCCAGGTGTTTTTAACAGAAGGCTTGAGGCTGAATGACAGAATCACAGAATCATTTAGGCTGGAAAATCCCTCTGAGCCCACCCAGTCCAGCCATTCCCCCAGCACTGCCAAGGCCACCGCTGCCCCATGTCCCCAGGTGCCACATCCACATGGCTGGTAAATCCCTCCAGGGATGGGGACTGCACCCCTGCCCTGGGCAGCACAGCCCTTCCAGGGGAGGAATCTTCCCCAGTACCCAACCTAAACCTCCCGTGGCACATCCTGAGGCCATTCCCCTTGTCCCTGGGAGCAGAACCCTGCTGCCCTGTCCTGCCAGGGGCTGGTGCAGAGCTCTGAGCCTCCTCTCCCCCAGGCTCAGATCGTGCTCTGTCATTCACAGTCACGGTGGGAGCTGCAGGGCTCAGCCATGAGGGAAGGGCTGGTGGGAGCCCTGGGCAGCTGAGGGTTCCCAGCCTGTGCCCCTGCCCTGGCTTTGGCTGCTGGGGCAGGCTCAGAGTGCAGAGGCTCACTCGGGTGAACAGTGCTGCTGAAATGAGCAGTGAAACTGGCTGCTGTTGGTGTCCAGGGGCTCGGTGTGACCCCAGAGCCCCCAGGGAGCTCCCCCTGCCCGGGCTGGCCGTGCTCAGGTCCCTGTGTCCTCCCCAGGCCACGGTGAACGCTCGCCCCCAGCGCATCCTGGACACCTCCTCGCTGACCCAGTCGGCCCCTGCCAGCCCCACCAACAAGGGGATGCACATCCACCAAGTGGGGTAAGTCCAGCCCGGCCTTCCAGAACCTTCTGTGGGTGGGGTGGCTGCTCCCTGCCCGGCCCCATCCCGGGGAGCTGCCCCAGGGATTGGGAACGTGGCTCCTGCTGTGGGGATGTGTCCAGGAAGGAGAGCTCTGGGAAAAGGTGGGGAGTTTCTTCCCATTTTCCTTTAGGGCCAAGAGTAACAAGCCCAGCTGGGTGTCCAACAGAGAACTGAAAGGCAGTGCTGACTTTGGCTGCTTTCACCTTCCCTGAGCTGTGGTGCCCAAATTCCCATTGACGTCTGAGCTGTGTCTGCTGCACTTGCAGCTGATAAAAGCTGAGGTTAACTGATGGACAGCACACCCTGCCTAAACTGCAGGGAAACAGAGACTGCTGGGGGCTGGAAATGGGATTATTTCCCAAATCTCCTCTCCAAGAGACAGCACCCCACGTTAGATCTGCTGGTCCCATAACCAGTGTGCACCAGTGAGATTCCAAGTTGGAACAGAGGGCCCAGTTTAAATTCAAATGGTTTGAAGCTTCGGTCCCCCCATGGAAATGCAGTGCCTGCTCTGGGTGACAGGTCAGGCATCACAGATTCCCAGAACATGAAGGTTCATCCCCTCAGTGTGGAGCTGGCGCAGTCAGAGATTGGTTTGGGGTCACTTTGGCCTTTGGAGGGAATGTGGGAATTGTGATGTTTCTGCAGAGGAGGCACCACAGTGAAACACAAACTTGTGAGAAAGAAAAACGCAAAGAACGTAACACACACACAAACCTCGTGTCCAGTGGTGCCCAAACCCTGTCCCTCTGTCCTGTCCCTCAGAGGGTCACCCCCAACCACGAGCACCAGCAGCTCCAGCCTGACCAACGAGGTGCCCAAGCAGCCGGTGAGCCGGGACCTGGCGTCCGTGCGCCCCAACGTCACCAACGTGGGTGTCCAGTACACCCCCCACTCCCACCAGTTCCCCAGGACAAGGAAAATGTTTGACAAAGGCCCAGAACAGGTAAGGAGACTTAGCTCTGACAGCTTCTCCCCACTGGGGTTTGTCCCACTTTCTGTTGGTTGTGGTTTATTTCTGTGCATCCCTCGTTTGCTTCCAGCTGCTGCTAATCCAGATTGGCTGCCTCTAACCAGCCAAATAAAAATTGATTTATTTATTTTCTTCAGGATAAATTGTGTTTTATGGCTTTTGATAGGGCATTATTCACTTCTGCCACTAAGCAATGTGTCTAATCAGAGTCCATGGCTTACTCTTCAGTAAACATCTCTGTGCCCGAGTGCCAGCCCAGAGTCAGCCCCTGACCCTCGGGGCTGCTCTCCAGCAGAGCAGGGACAAGGGACAGCTGTGGCCACAAGGAGAAGGTGCTGCAGTTCCCTTCTCTGGGCTTTGGCAGCACCAGCCTGGATTGTATTTCTGGGAGCTGAGGGAATGGAGCAGCTTTTCCCTTTTCCCTTGGGGTGTGCTGTGCTGTGTGACAGACACTCATCCACTCATCCTCACCCATTCTCACTGCTCCCCACACCACATCCTTGGGAGTCTGTGCCAGAACTCCTACTGGGACCTCTCTGAGGAGCCATGGAGATGCTCCAGCTGAGGGCACCTTTCCCAGGAGTGACCGTAACGCCCCAGCCCAAAGCCGTGTGCCGAGTTCCCTGTGCTGGGCAGGGCTGGAGCTTTCTGGTGCCTGCCTGGGGCAGTGGGGGAGTCCCTGGGGGTGTCCCTGGGGGTGTCCTGGCCCTGCAGGTGGGTGACCCCTGTCCCCTCCCCACAGACAGCCGATGATGCTGACGATGCCGTGGGACACAAGAGCTTCATCTCGGCCGCGGTGCAGACGGGGTTCTGCGACTGGAGCGCCAAGTACTTCGCCCAGCCCGTCATGAAGGTAACCCTGCTGGGCTGGGCTGGCCCCTGGCCCTCTGCCCCTTCTCTTTCCTGCCAGCTGGGGAGGCAAAGGAATGGATTTCCCTACATCGTGCTGCTCGTGTCAGTAAGGGGGAAGGAGGGAGCAGAGGGGTCAGTGAGGGTGGGACAGACAGGGGGGAAGTGCTCAGCTCCCCATGGAGCACAATCCCCAAAAGATGTAGGAGTGAGGAGAGGTTCTGTATCCAGATCCCCCAGTTCTGCCTGGTTGCACTGCAGAGTTGTTCCATCTGAAATGTTGTGCTCCTCTGCATATAGAAAATGGCATGATAGCTAAAATGAATTGGTTTTTAAAATAAATAAATGGAATAAGGAAGGTCCTTTTTCCCAGAAGAGGAAGTGGGAGGCTGCAGAAGGAGAGATGCAGTTTGCCTTCTGACATTCCAGCTGAATCTCCTGGCTGTGGTAAAAGAAGTGGTGGAGGGAGGCTGCCCTGGGGGAGGCCACGGTGGCAGCAGGACAAGGGTGGTAATGATAAATTTGCATCCAGGTTTCTTCAGAAGTGACTTGTTTGGGTAACTAAGTTGTCTCTGTGTGAAGTGAGAGAGAAACTGAAACCTTGTTCCAGGAAAAACTCAAACCAGAGCTCTTAAGAGATGGGCAAAGATATCAGTGACTGGAAAGAGAAGCTGTTAAATTCCCAGAATGTTTTAGCCAAAGCTCAGGATTCAGGTTTAGGTCTGATTTAGGTTTAGGAGCAGTAAATCTCCTTCATTAAAGGCAACTTTCAGGTGCTCTGGGAGTCTCAGGGAGCCTGAAGGTGTCAGGACTTTGAGCTCCATCTCTTGCAGGGGTTGCCAGGCCCGGCAGGGACGATGCCCAGGCTCCATTAATGCCTCTCACAGCGGATGTTTGTGTCCAAGCCCTGCTGCTGAGGTGGGGATAATGAGGAAATGGTGTGGGTTTAGTGCTGCCCCACCGGAGCTGGGATCATCCCCACGCTCCTGGAATGTTCAGGTGCTGGGGTGAGGTAATTGCCTGAGTTTCAGGATATCAGAGCAGGGCAGGCTCTTGATTTCCAGAGGGAGTCACCAGTGAAGCGATTGCCTGACTCTTCCTCAGCTGCTGTGAAATTCCCTTTCTGCTGGAACCATTCCTATGGGCACATCTGGGATGTGGGGCTGGGCTGCCTGGCCAAGCTTCCACCGGGGCTTTTTCTCCTCAGGATGAGGAGCCCAGGTTGACTCAAGCTCAGAGCAGAGCACAAGAGGAGGAAGGTGATGTGTGAGCTCTTAGTTCTTATTAAAATCATTTGTCTGCTCCTTAAGAAAACCTCTTCCCAGGGAAGAGGGGGGTCTTTATTAATAAAATAAATCAGGGTAGGCACGGGCAGTGGGGACATGGGGAGCTCTGTGGGGGAGTGGCTTTACTACTACTTCCTGCACATAAAATAAACTAAATTGCTTTAGGGGAGGCAATAAAAAACGTGCAGCATTCCCCTACTAATTCAGAGGAGGCAGGGAGGGGAGGCATGGAAAGGGAGTGCTCTGCAGTCCCAGAGTGCTCCGTGTCTCCCAGGGAGCCATGGCTGAAGCTTGAACAGAAACAAATCTGTGTTTTCCAATCACTCAAGGGAGAGAATTGATTTCCTTTCCTCTGCAAAGCAGCTTTGAAAGGCCAAGGAGAGGGAGTTTCCTGCAGGTGTTAGCCTGTCCTAGCAGGGAATGATAGGTAACTTTGGGATTGGGCTGGCTGCTGTGTGTGCAAGGGACAGGGAGAAATGTCTCTGTGAGAACTTTCTCTGAGCTTTCTTGGCTGGAAGTCAGGACTGACAGCTCGAGTGCTGCCTGAGTTTCCATGGAGTCCCTGTTCCTGCAGTCCCTGTTCCTGCAGCAACAGGGAACAGTCCTGGCTGGTGGCTGCTGCCTTTTGGGAGCTTCAGCCTCGTGAAAAAGGCTAAAAGTGTAGCAAGTACTGATGGAAAAATGACATTGATGCTTAATTCCAGCCATTCTTTTGGAGCTGCTGCCTGCCTTCTTAAACAGGGAAAGACAAGACAACTGTTCCTGTAATGAATAAACATTAAATGACTGTGAGTGCATCTTAGTCATATTTAATTTATGGATTTAGTTTTGCTTCATGGACCTTGCCCTGAGAATGCTTTCACTGGAAAGACTGAGGGATTAATTTCCAGTGTAAATCAGGGGCTCCGTTTCAAGCCATCATTCCAGGTTTGATTTATTGATTATCTAATCAAATAAGAGGAGAAGGAAAACGCTGCACTGGAAATTCTCCATGTGCCAGGAAAAGCAGGTCCCTAGCCCAGCTCTGATCTCTGCAGAAGCTTTTCCTGCAGTCCCTCGTGGCTCAGGGCTGTTCTGGGAGCCACGGGGCGCAGGAAAGCCTCGGTGCCAGCTGTCAGGAAGTCCTGAGTCAAGGAGAGCGGGAGCCAGCATCTGTTATTTCCAGGGCTGGCAGAACATGCAGGCAGGAGCTGGGAAGGATCCTGGAAGGTGAGAATTACATAAGCAGCCCTTCCTGCTCCATCCCTGCCGGAGCTGCTGCGGGAATGCTGAGCAGGGAGAGCTGGATTTGCCTCTGGAGCCTTCTGCCAGCTGCTCCCTGCTCCCCTCCTGCACCCACTGCCACGGGGAGAGGCAGAGACCCAGCTCAGAGAGGGAGAACTGCGCTGGGAGGGTGCAGGTGCTCCCTGGTCCCTGCTGGGGGAGGCTGGAGCCCTGGGAGGGACCTGGCACTGTCCCCATCCTGCAGCTGTCTGGGGCAGGGAGCAGAGCTGGCCTTCACCTTTCCACAGATCCCCAGAGCCTCACAGGGGCTGGCTGTGGGGGCCAGCACAGCTTTTACCTGCGTGCTCTGACTCTTCCCTGGGCTTCCTTTAATTTATTCCTGGAGAAGCTGGATTTTCATTAAGGTGTAGGTGTCATCTCTCCCCTCTCAAATTCCTTTGATGTATTTTAGCCCAGGTTTGTTTACTGCTTTTCATTAGGGGTCGTTTGTCATTGCCTGTCTAATAGGTGTTGTGCTGAAATAAAGTGCTTTTTTCTTTGCCAGGAGGAAAGGTGGAGGGTGGGCTTCTTATTTTTTATTTATTTCACAGAAGCAGAAGTCCAACTCAGTCACAGCTGTTTTCCAAAGGATAACATGGTTTGAAGGCAGTGCCTGTAACAGTGACAGATGATTTAAGGACTTTCTTATTCAGGGAAAACAGGGTTTGTTTGTGGGGAATTTGTCTTCCTTCTGCAAGAGTTGGAAGGACCTTTGGAACAACCAGCATCAAAGGAAGCTGGATCAGGACCCTGTAGCTCAGCTCCTTATTCAATCCAAGGATGGTTCTGGAGCAGGGGAGTCTTGGGTAATTTTTTAAGAATGAAAAACCCCTCACATATAGCTCCTGCCATGGTTTGGGGTGAGATCTTACAAGTTTATTCCATTGGAAGCTGTGTTCTGAGTAAGGGTGGGAATCCCGTGGGGCTGTCCTGACCTGGCCCTGTGCCTGGAGCACAGGTTTTGGAGGGGAGCCTTGGGGTGCTGGAGCTGTGAATAGATCTCATCAAATGGCTCAGAGTGGCTGTGACTGCAGGGCCACTCCCCAGTTTTCAGGGGGAATTTTGTGTCTAATCAAAGCCAGGTGACACAGGGGAATGGTTTTCCAGAGCAGGGAATCAGAACAGGGCTGTTCCTGGTAAATGGTGGTGGAAACCCCAACATCCCGAGGATTTGGGAATGTATCCGTGCCCTGCTCAGCCAGCAGCCCTTGGTTAGCAGGAAAAGGAAGGTTTCAGTGTGTTGTGAGCTGGCTGTAGCAGGGCTGTGCTCCCTCTCTGATCTCGGGCTTGCTGCGTGATGCTTCTCAGCCGAGGAGAGTTAAGAGAGAAATCAGTGTTGTGCCGAGATCAGACTGCAGCGTCCAGAGGGGCCGGGAGCCACGGACACTGCAGCATGGCTCAGCTAATTCCTAAGCTCCTGGGGGTCACTGCTGGTGTCTGTGTGTGCTCCTGTCCCGGCAGATCCCCGAGGAGCACGACCTGGAGAGCCAGATCCGCAAGGAGCGGGAGTGGCGCTTCCTGCGCAACGCCCGCGTCAGGAAACAGGCGCAGAAGATCATCCAGAAGGGTGAGTGCTTCCCAGTTAGCCCTGATCCCCAGCCCTGGTGCTCCCCCAGCCCTCTGCTCTCAGCTGCTGGGTTTGCTCACCCCAGAGCCGCTCGGGCTCTGCCTCCAAGGGGATGGAAGGGTCTGGAGCTGCAGGCTCAGGGTTTGGTGTGGGCCAGGCACACCCTGGGGCTGCTGGACCTGTCCCCCAGCTCAGGAGACACCCCAGGGATGTCTCTCACCTTCCCTGCTCTGCTGAGCTCTGGAATCCATTGTTTATTCCTTGTATCCCATTTTATTTGGGATATTTGTGTGTGTGCTGCTCCCATCGTGCCTCAGGCCCGTGCTGCCTCAGCGGGAGCAGCCTGGGGTTGAATCTTTAGGGCTCTCTGGGGCAGCTTTGGGCTGGAATTCTCCCAGCACAGGAATTTATCCGAATAAAGTGGAACCTAATGAAGCTTCCTGAGGAATTTGCATTCCTCTTTTTACCCTGCTGGTGTGCCCTGAGCAGCAGAGCCACAGTTCCAGGAGGTGCTGGTGTCCCCCCCGTGGCATTCCCAGGAGCAGGGCTGGGCTGGGGGCTGCTCCTCCCAGGGCTGGAAATCCCAGTGTGCTGCAGGAAAAGTGCCCAGGGCTCAGCCCTGGGGGTGCAGAATGGAGCTCCACACCGGGAAACTGCGGGATATCATCCAGCAGAGAAATCCAGAGATGATCCTGGAGCCCAGGAGATGGCCTGGCAGATCTGATGGAATACAAAGAAGGGGATTTTTCATGCTTGCCTGGAGAAGTTAAATCTCTTTCTCGACAGTGTTCATATTTGGTTGCTTGACCCGGGTGACTGAAATGCCACTATTCATTAAAAAAATAATGAAAACGTGAAATATTAAAAAGAATTAAAATAGACTTACAAGCTTTTAATGAAAATTAGCTTCAATGGATGCATTCTAAAACAAACTCGGGCTGAATGGATGTCTCCTGGGTTTAGGGGTTTGTGTGATGAATTCAGAGAGTGCCAAAACCCAGCAGTATCAGGGGTCCCAACACTGTTTGTGAATAGCAAACTGCTCTCAAGACAAGATGGGAGAAGTCTTTAACCATCATTTCAAGGTCTCCGTGGAAAATACATATTTCATTTGCAAATTAACCTAAAATTTGGGGGAACTGAAATGGAAGGTTAAATAAATAATCCACGAGCTACAGTGAAATGCTGTATTTTAAACTGAAAAAAAAAAAGAAAAAAAAAAGGCATTTTCATATTTTGTATTTTGAAGAAATAGTGTTGGTTGTTCCCTCATCACAACCTGGCACGTCCCTGGCTTTGGCTGCTCGCCAGCCTGAAGGATGAAGGATTTGTCACCAGTTCTTGGTTTGTACCTCAAGAACTGAGCTGGGAGGGTGTGAGAAGGTCCTGGCAGGGGGGGAGGTTTGGGGGGTCCTGCTGAGAGCTGGGGCAGGGGGAGCTGTGGCTGTCCCCAGCTGGGGCTGAGCTCTGCTGTCCCCGCAGGCATCTCCCGGCTGGACGATCAGATCTTCCTCAACAGGAACCCGGGCGTGCCCTCCGTGGTGAAATTCCACCCCTTCACACCCTGCATCGCCGTGGCTGACAAGGACAGCATCTGGTGAGGGCTGGGTGGCAGCAGGGACACTCCTGCCTCCCTCCCAGCAGCTGCAGGGATTGAAATCCTGCCCTGGGAGGGTGGCAGGCCCTGGCAGTGTCCCAGGCCAGGCTGGATGGGGCTTGGGGCACCCTGGGACAGTGGGAGGTGTCCCTGCCATGGCAGGGGTGGCACTGGATGGGCTTTGAGGTGGTTCCAGTCCAAACCATTCCACGATTCCGTGATAATTCCGTTATTCACCAAATGATGCTAAACTCCAAAGGAGAAATCCCACGCTGGGTAACGAGTGCAGCTCTCTACAGCTCACACAGAGAGCTGAGAACTCACCTGCTGTTTCTTCCTCCCACAGCTTTTGGGACTGGGAGAAAGGGGAAAAGCTGGACTATTTCCACAACGGGAACCCTCGGTACACGCGGATCACGGCCATGGAGTACCTGAACGGCCAGGACTGCTCCCTGCTGCTCACTGCCACAGGTAAAGCTCACACAGGGGCCTTGGCACACCTCCAGTCCAGGTGAGCTGCTCTGCACCTCCTTCTCTCCCCTCCATGGATTGCTCCCAGCCTGGCTCTTCCCTCCCTGCTGTTCCCTGGCTGCTGTCAGTGCAGGAGCCCGTCTCCAGATCAGAGCTGTGAGTTCCTCCTGCCACTGCTGCTGTCTCTCAGGCAGGTGCTGCAGAGCCTTTGCAAGGACTGCCCAGCCCAACCCTTGCTGAAGCCATTCCCATCTGAGTCTTGGCTTGTCATTCGCAAGGTTGTGGTTACCCCCTCCTGGGGAAAGGTGATTTTGGTTGGTTAAAGCTGCTGCACAGAGCTGAAATTGTGCAGCAGCCAAAGCACAGAGCTCCAGTTGTGTTCCTTGGGCTGTGTTGATGTAGAGCAGGCAGGGCTCAGCCTCAGCACTGAACCTCTCAGTGGTTCTGAGCTTCTCTCCAGTCCATATCTCACCTGAGCAGCTCTCCAGCTGCTGGAGGGGCTTGCATGAGGAGACCTTGTGCTGGTCACAGCCCGAGCTGTGAGTCAGATCTGCTCCTCTCCCAAGGAACCATTCCAGACCTGGCAGGCAGAGTGTTTTTAACAGCTCCTCCAGATCCTGCTCCACTCTACAGGTTGGGTGTAATTAAGGGAGGGGCAAGGGAAGCTGAGAGAGCCTTTAGGACATATTTCTTTCAATTTATTGATTCATAGCACAAAAGTTCCACAGGTGGGGAGCAAATTGAAAAAAATACACAATGTTCTTGAAAGATTTGCTGCTGATGGGCTGGGCTTTGATGCTGCTGCTTCTGTGGGGCTGTTTTGTGTTGAGTGGGTACTTGTGTGGCCCTCGGCACCAATCCAGAGATGAATCCTGGAGAAAATGAATGTCAAGGAAATGGAGAGACACTGAATGTCAGGTGTTATTGAAGGGAGGAGAAAAGCTCCTCCAGAACAGCTCCAGCAGAACAAAGCTGTAGGTTTCTTGGATGTAAATGAGAGAGGGAAAACAACTCCAACAAAAAGTGTTGAAGTGACACTCTGAGGTTTGGGGTCTGTGTGACTTCAGTTCTGCTTCTCCTGCTCCTGGTGCACAGGGAGCTGTGGGAGCTGCACCAGCAGTGACTCTGTGTTCTTTCCCTGCCCCCCAAGATGATGGTGCCATCAGAGTGTGGAAGAACTTTGCAGACCTGGAGAAGAACCCGGAGATGGTGACAGCCTGGCAGGGGCTGTCAGACATGCTGCCAACCACACGAGGTGGGTCCCAGCGAGGTTTCTGGGGGGCAAGGTGGAAATCAGCCTTGGTGCAGCTTTGCAGGTGGCACCCGTGACCTCCTGTAGCCCCAGCTCCAGTTTTGGCACCTGTTCTTCCCTGTTTATTGTGGGTCAGGAGGAGGCAGAGGAACGTGTGGTCTAAATCTGGCCCGTGCAGAAGGACAGCACAGTGAGACACCGGCCTGCTCGGAATGCTGGGCAGAAAAGGGTGTAAAAAGGAGCACTGGCATCCAGCCACACCTGGGATGGAGCCAGAAAACCAGTCTGTGTAACCCTGGAATGTGTTTTAGGACATTTAGGGAGGTTTTGGGATGTTACAGGAGGATTTAGGATGTTACACGAGGTTTTAGGATATTTAAAGGAGGTTTTTAGGATGTTACAGGAGGTTTTGGGATGTTATAGGAGGTTTTAGGATGTTACAGGAGGTTTTAGGATATTTAAAGGAGGTTTTTAGGATGTTACAGGAGGTTTTGGGATATTAAAGGAGGTTTTGGGATGTTATAGGAGGTTTTGGGATGTTACAGGAGGTTTTCCAGCACTCCAGGAGGTGGATGTTCCATCCTGCCCAGACCCCATCAGGTGCCAATGCTCCAATGGCAATTCTCTGTCCCTTGAATATTTCTAATCAAGGCTGCAGGTTTTTCTGTGTGTGCTGTGGTTCAATCAGCACTTTGTGGGATTGATGGGAGTGTGGGATTGATGGAGGAAGTGCTGCATGGGGCTGCCTGGCCCGTGCTGAGCAGGAGGTCAGATGAGATGACCATCATCATTCATCCTGACCTTAAAAGCTGACAGTTCTCATTTCTGAGCTGATGTGGTTCATCCCAGGAGCCTGACACAGCTCTTTCATTGGATTTTCCTGGGGCTGCCTGGTGTGTGCTGTTCCCTGTGTGTCTCAGGGAAGGGGAGCTGTGTTTGAGGCTCTGCCTGGCTGCTGAGGAGCTGCTGGCAGTTGAGATGTGCAGATGGCAGCACCTGCCCTTCCCGAGGTGGCAGCAGGAGCAGGAGGGGCTGTTGTGAGCTCTGCTGAGGCACAGCGAGCCCAGGAGGGGTGACAAGTGGCCCTTTGTGGTGTCACTCTGTAGTTCTGTGCCAGCAAACACCAGCTTTCCTGGCTGCTGGTTGATGTTTCCCATCCTGGATTCAGGACCTGTTTTCTTGGAGCTGGGAATGCCCCTGGGCTGCCCTGGCTGTGCCTCTGGTGCTGGGCAAGGAGGATTCTGGAATTCCCTCAGCCCAATCCCACTGTCCTGCCCTCCTCCCACGTGCACTGTGCCAGGGCAGAGCCTGCTTGTGCCTCACTCTGGGCAGGATTTGACACCCAGGAAGGATTTGCAGTGTCTGACACAGCTCAGAGAGCTCTGAGAGCTGCCTGGTTCCATTTGCCAGAACATGACTGGGGAAACTTAAATCTGTTCTCTTTAGGATTGGGTTGGGGTTTTTTTTCCCTTGGCTTTTTCTTTCCCTTGTGGACTGAAGCAGTCTGGGGACTGTTTTCTTTGCCTTCCACCTTCTCAGCAGATTGGGAAGAAGAGAGGGACAGATCTGTTTGTGGAGAGAGAAATAAATGTAGCCACTTCAAAAGAGCTAAGTGGAGCAAGTCCCCGTGGAGATGAGAGTCTTCAGAGTCATCTGCTGCCAAGACCACAGCTGTGGTCCAGCACTGGCTCAGAAAACTGAGGATGCATCTCTGAAGCTGCAGAGCTCAGGAGTTTTACTGGAATTTGTTTGCTCCCACTATTGATTTCCTTCCCTCCTCTCCCAGCTTTTCCCCTGTGTCACAATGTCACCCTCAGCTCTGAGCTGCTCTCGAGAACAGCCAGAACATGACCAGAACGTGACTTCCAGGGCCATTTTCCCACTTAGAAAAGGAGAGAGGAATCTGTACCACGGAAATGGCTCCTTGGGAAGGCTGGAGAGCAGGGCTGGGTTGTGTGAGCACTGGGAGAAGGGCAGGGGCACTGCCTGGGAGGGGCACAGACACATTTCCACAGGGAACTCAGAGTGGGCAGGAAGCCCTGAGGCATGGCAGGAGCCCTGTGGTGCCGTGGATTTGTGCAGATGCCAGGATCCCTGCCTGGCTGTCCTGGCTGTGCTGGGACACAGCTGAGGCACACGGGGCTCTGTGCTGCTCTCAGCCTGCTCCTCACAGGCTGCTGCCTTCCCAAAAACACCGAGCTGCACCGAGGGAGGGGGGCAGGGGCTGCTCTGGGTGCTGCTGCTCCTCTTCCAGGGTGAGCTGCTGTTTCTGGTCCCTGTTTGCAGCTGGTTTTTGCTCTGAGCACCAGCCCCTGATCCCTGTCTCCCCGCAGGTCTGGCCCGAAGGGTGTCCATCTACCTGGACAGAAGCAAGCAGGGAGGTGAGTGCTGGTCCTGTCCCCCGTGCTCAGGGGGGTGGGCAGAGCTCCTCGGGGTGGTTTTGGTGTGCTTTGAGGGATTCCTGGGTCCCTGTGGCTCCTGGGGAGCTTTGCTTCCACCTCTGCCCCGTGTCTGAGGGGTGCAGGGAGGGATCTGTGCTCCCTGGGCAGGCACAGGCCCTGCTGGGATAAGGGACATTCACTGCAGCCTCTCTGAGCTCCCTCAGCCACAGGAGGCCTGGGGGGATTTGGGAGTCTCTATTTCCCAGGGAGATTTCAAATCCTGGATTTCCATCTCTGGACAGAAGGGTTTGAGTGGGAGGTTCCAAATGGAGCCAGCATAAAGCTGGTGTGGCCTTGGCTGGGGTTTGTTTGTAGCTCCCCTGGGCTGTGAAGATCTGTGCAAAGGAGATGCTGGGGGGTCTTTCCCAGCAGCCTCAGAACCGTGGACCCTTGGCAGAGATGAGCCAAAAAGGGGAAATTTAAGTTGGATCCATGGGATTAATTGTTCCCTGGCAGGGTGGGCAGGCCCTGGCACAGGTGCCCAGAGCAGCTGGGGCTGCCCCTGGATCCCTGGCAGTGCCCAAGGCCAGGCTGGACACTGGGACAGTGGGACACTGGGACACTGGGACAGTGGGACAGTGGGACACTGGGACACTGGGACACTGGGACACTGGGAGCTGTCCCTGCCATGGCAGGGCTGGGATGGGTGAGCTGAGCTCAGCCCAAATCCTCCTGGGATTCTGGGACTGCAGAAGATGTCACAAACTGCACTCTGCCACGCGGAGGGAAGCTGAAGGGAATCCTCAGCCTTCTCCCCCAGAAGCTGTGCGGGGCTCTGGGTCCCACGGGGGTGGGAGCAGGTGGTTGATGTGTCAGGGCATCCCGGGGCTGCTCGTGGTGACGTCTCCACCTCAGGATGTTCATCAATTATTGATATTTGCTGACTGATCAGAGCTGGCTGTGTCTGCACTGATTAATCACCCGGCTCCTGGCAGGGGCTGATTCAGAGCTCGTTAGTGGAGTTGAGCAGCTCTGTGTGGCTGTGGGAGCCGGGGCAGGAGAGAGCAGAGCTGATGTGTGGCTGCTGCTGCTGCCTGGCTCCGACATCCCCCAGAAAAGGCTAAAATTAGCAGGGCTTGGCTGCAGGGAATCCCCGCTCAGCCAGCCGGCCACGGAGCGCTTGCAGGGAATTCCGGAGCCGGATCGATGCCAGGCCATGGCAGCCCCTGCTCACGGGCAAGGCAGGTCAATAAAAACCTTCTCCAGCTGCCTCTGCTCTCCTGCTGGCAGGGGCAGCACAAGCATTCCCCCTTCCCTCTGGAGAACTGTAGGAAATGTCTGGAATTACATTCAGTGTTTGGATACTGCCCCACCCCTGGAAGTGTCCCAGGCTGGGCTGGATGGGGCTTGGAGCAGGGGGACAGCTCCAGCCTGCAGCAGGAGCTGCTCAAGGGGTCAGACCCGGGCTCATCCCAGAGCCCAAGGGGCAGAGGGACCCACAGAGGCTTCCCACATCTCCCAGGAGCCCACATCAGGAGCGAGGGCTGCGGGAGGAGCGACACAGTTCTGGTCAGATCATTTGATGGCAATAAAATCTTCGGAGAAATGGCAGCTCCAGGGGTTTGTGTTCTTTTAATTGAATTCCCAGCATCCCAGCTCCTGCTGTCCCTCACTGCAGAGTCCTTGGCAGGAGGAGGGTGACACTTTTTGAGAGGATGTTGTAGAAATTAATGATGAGTGAGGTCATCCCACCCTCCCACTGCTTCCTGGAAATTAAAGCAGGGATGTGCTTCACTGCTCAACCAGGAGGGCCCGTGATTAAAAAATGATCAGTCAGAATCCAGGATGCTTTTCAGTTGTGTTCCATGTAGGTATTCCTGATTCCACTGAAATGCCAAGGACAGCCTGGCCACGTTCCTGTGAAGGCAGATGTTGGGAATGCAGCTTCCACCACGTTAGTCCTGGAATTTATCCATGGAATTGTCCCATCCAGGCAAATATCTCTGGCTCAGGGGCAATCCTGAGGGAGCAGCCATGGGAAGTTGTACCTTCAGGAACAGCTGTTGGTGTGGATAAACTCAGCCACACAGAGCTGCCAGTGCTGCCTTTAAAAGGCTCAAAAACAACAACAACAAAAAAACCCAAACCAAAAAACAACAACACCTCCAGCACAGACATTTAAAAATTCCTTTCCCTGAGCTGTGGAAGATTTGTTGCTCATTATCTAAGAACATAATATTCCTCAGGGGAAAATTGTGCTCTCAGTTCCTGATGCATTGCAGCAGTGCAGGGCTGGTCCCTGCAGCTCGTGGATTCTGGGAGCATCAGGATTCCAGCACTGGCCTGTGCCAGCTGTGTGCCAGCTGTGTGCAGCTGTGTGCCATCTGTGTGCCAGCTGTGTGCCAGCTGTGTGCCAGCTGTGTGCCATCCCCCTGTGCCAGCTGTGTGCCATCCCCCTGTGCCAGCTGTGTGCCAGCTGTGTGCCAGCTGTGTGCCATCCCCCTGTGCCAGCTGTGTGCCATCTCCTTGTGCCAGCTGTGTGCCAGCTGTGTGCCATCTCCCTGTGCCAGCTGTGTGCAGCTGTGTCCCTGCTTGCTCCTGTCAGGGTGGGCAGGTCAGGCAGAGCCAGCTCTGGGGCTGTGCAGTGCTCAGGGCAGCACCTGGGGCAGGAGGGGCTGAGTGAGGAGTTCAGGTGCTCAGGGCAGCACCTGGAGGGGCTGAGGGAGGAGTTCAGGTGCTCAGGGCAGCACTGGAGGGGCTGAGGGAGGAGTTCAGGTGTTCAGAGCAGCACCTGGAGGGGCTGAGTGAGGAGTTCAGGTGCTCAGGGCAGCACTGGGGGGGCTGAGTGAGGAGTTCAGGTGCTCAGAGCAGCACCTGGAGGGGCTCAGGGAGGAGTTCAGGTGCTCAGGGCAGCACCTGGGGCAGGACAGGCTGAGTGAGGAGCAGCTCAGGTGCCAAGCCCAGGAGCCAAAGCCCCGTGGGTGGGCTGCAGGCTCAGTTGTAACATCCTGGAGTAGGACCTCTGTTAATTAAAAAGGAAATGATCATTAGCATTCAATCCCACGTTCGCTCCTCATCCCAAAATACGATGAATTGAGCATGGAAACATGAGCCAATCCTGTCTCATCTCTGCCATGCAAACCTTTGCTCGTACATAGAAATAGTTCAGCTATTTCTGTCTCGTTCCATACTGTGAGTGCCAGCTCTGGGTGGAACATTTCGCAGTCAGAGGAAGCTTTCCTTCCCCTCACACACTTCCAAGTGACTGACATTTCTGTACAAGGGCTTTTCTGCCCTGCAGACAGGTTCAGCATTCCCATTTGCATCCCCTTTTTGGCCAGGGCACAGTTGGGGTGCAGCAGGAGCAGAGCCCCCAGCCCAGGGCTCAGCACAGGCAGCTTTGCAGCCAGGACCCAGCACCTCCAGGCAGATCCTTGCTTTGGGATGATCAAATCCTGCCCTTCCCTCTTCCAGGGAGCAGCAGTTATCCCTGAGCTGAACTATTTAAGTTTTAATAAGACAGGCAGGAACTGCAAGGTTCATACCCAGCTTCATCCCTGGAAGTGTCCCAGGCCAGGCTGGGCAGCTTGGAGCACCCTGGGGTAGTGGAAGGTGCCCCTGCCCATGGCAGGGTGGGATGAGGTGGTTGTTAAGGTCCCTTCCAACCCAGACCATCCCAGGATTCCGTGATCATCTCCCTCCTTTTTTCCCACCCTGGTTGGGAGTGAGCCCTTGTCCTTCCCATCTGTTTTGTGGAATCCCTCTGGAGCCTCTTCCCTCTGTGAGACTCTCCCTGCCTGTCTAGCTGTCATTGCTGACTGTCCTCAGTGACAAACTCCTGACAGGCACCCAAGGGAGGCACCAAAAATGCCAATTCTGTCCCCAAATTCAGCTCCCCTGTCCCCCTCCACAGAACAGCCCCTGGAGCTTCAGCTGATGGGGCTTGGTGCTGGTCAGAAAGAAACCTTTCCTTCAAACTGGGGGATGTTCCTGGGAAATCAGGAGCTTTGGAGCTGCCTCGGAGCTCTTTACCTGCTGAACTCCTCCAGGGATGGGAATGGGCAGATCCATCTCAGCTGCCAGGTTTATCCTGTCACATGGGCCATAAACAGATGACAAATGCAAACACTTGAGAGGTGTTTATCATCTCCATCACTGCCTGCTCGTCTGCCTGGCTCTCCAGCCCTGCGAGGAGGGAATGATCCATTTGACTAAAGATAGAGGTGCAGGCTCCCAGCTCGGGCCTGGATTTCCTGCAGCGAGGTGAGGGAGTGTCAGTGAACATCAGTGCCCTCCTCCATGGACGGGGCAGGAGCAGGGATCTGCTCAGACACCATGCTCAGGGAGAGGAGAGGGGCAGAACGTTTTCCCTGAAGCTGTGCAAAACAAGGTCATTGCATCGTGCTGGAGGAGAACTCGGTGTTCACAGGATGTGTCTGCTGCTTCCTTTGTGCTCTGTGACAGTGCTGTTCTGCTACAGGGTGCTTGTGGCCCTTTGGTGACAAAGGAGCACGTTGGGGCAGGCTTTGATTTCCTGCTGGGGATGATTGCTGGCAGTAAATCCAGAGAAATGCACGTTTTTACCTTGTGGACAAGTACGGTGTGGAGTGGAGACACGGGGATGGTGCTGAAGGCACTGAGAGTGCTCGGGGCAGGAGCTGCAGTCCTGATGCATTGCAGAGGGTTCTGACTCCAGTTCTGGCTGGTTATGAAACACTGCTCAGCACCAGAGACTCGGCCTGGCACCAGGAGAGGGTGGACAACTGCTCTGGGAGGCAGGGATGCTGCTCTGGGAGCCAGGGATGCTGCTCTGAGCAGGAATTCTGCTGCTGTCTCTGCCCTCCCGAGGGGCTGGAACAGACACCAAGCCTGGAGTTCTTCTCTGGTTCCCTCCCGTGGTGCTCCCGGGGTTTCTGTTTGTGTTTTTGTGCTGAACTTCCCCTGGAGACTGATCTGTGCCCTCAGGGATGAGGAGCAAGCTCTTGTGAGGGTGTTGGAGCTGCTGTCACTGCAGGGTGTTCCTCTCCTCACCAGTCAGTGCAGCAGACTGGTTTGTGCTCCCACCAGCTGTTAAATTCACTCCACTGCAGCCCTGACTTGGCTGTTCCTTGTCCAGAACATCTCCCACATCCTCCTGACGGAACGAGGAGCTGGGCCAGGAGCTCTCAGGGCTTGCTGCATGAGGTGGCACCAGCTGGGTGTCTTCAGCCAGCATTTAATGTTCTCATGAGGTGCAGGGCACTGCTCCACTCCCACAGGGACTGTCCCTGCTCGGCTTCTCAGCACTCAGAGCAGGGCCAGAGGCCGTGTTTGGACTCCAGTCCTGGAGCAGCTGGTCCAGTCCCATCTGGAGGATGTGTGGGGGGTCTGTGTGTGTCATTTTCCATTTCCCCTGGTGGTGACAGTGTCTGGAACACGGGGTCAGGACAGCTGATGCTCCACGGAGTGCAGCTCTGCCCGTGCTGGCACTGACCTGCACCCCTGCCTTGTTGTGTCTCAGGAGCAGGGATGGTGGTGGACTGGGAACAAGAAACCGGGCTCCTGATGACATCAGGAGACGTGAGGATCATCCGGATCTGGGACACGGATCGGGAAATGAAAGTCCAGGTAACGCTTGTCCACAGCACCTTCTCCCTCCTGGAGCCCTGGACTGGCTCTGGGATGCAGGGACAGCACTGGGATGCAGGGACAGCACTGGGATGCAGGGACAGCACTGGGATGCAGGGACAGCACTGGGATGCAGGGACAGGCACTGGGATGCAGTTGGATTCCATATTACAGGATAGCTGGAATAGTGTAAAATCTGTGAAAGCACACACACAGCTCCCTGTGCACAGGGAAAAAGCCCTGCTCCAGTTCTTGTCAGCCACAACCACGTGGAAGTTTCTCAGAAATTCCAAGGAGAAGCAGGTGGTTGGTGAGAATGGAGGCACCACGCTGGAATAAAAAGGAAGTGGAGTTTTCAAAGCTTCTCGAAATTAATTACCCTTGGATGAACATTAATTGCGACACTTTGACCCTGCCATGCAGGATAATTAAGCCTCTGTTCATCTTAATTACTTTCACATATTATTTTTTCTATGCAAATTAAGGAGCGGCAAAATTCAGGAGGCGAAAATCTTTTCAATGATGACGATTAATGATTGCACCCAAAGTATCTAAAAACACGTTGTTTCTTTTTTTAATTGCGAAGATTGGGTGTTGAAATTCAAGTGATTGGAACTTCCTGACTCAGTCACTGGGAAAGTGAGAACGGGCACAAAGAGCAGGAATAATGGAGGCCATAAAGAGGTGCTTCCCTCTTTGAACTACAGAAACCCACACCTCTGGAAGCACCCGGGCTGCGGTGGGAGGAACCAGTGCTTCATTTGCACTTCTGCTGAGTGTTGCTGCTTCAAAGGAGGAGCTGGGGGTGGGCAGAGGCTGCAGCATCCCCTGGCCTGGCGCCTCTCCCCGCTCAGCCCAGGCTGGAACAGCGGCAGGAACAGGACTGAGGTGTGGAATGAGCTCCTGCAGCTCCTGGAGCAGCCTGGGCTGTGGAAGGTGTTCCTGGGGCACCCTGGGCTGTGGAAGGTGTTCCTGGGGTACCCTGGGCTGTGGAAGGTGTTCCTGGGGCACCCTGGGCTGTGGAAGGTGCCTTTTCCCAGCATGGGTTCCTGATGGGATGAGCTGGGTGTCTGGGGACAGGCACAGCACTGCCCGGCTCCTCTGGGGCTGCAGGGTGGCACTGCTGGGGCTTCCGAGCGTGAGGACGAGGAGGAGGATGAGGATGAGGATGAGGATGAGGAGGATGAGGATGAGGATGAGGATGAGGATGAGGAGGATGAGGATGAGGATGAGGATGAGGAGGATGAGGATGAGGATGAGGATGAGGATGAGGATGAGGATGAGGATGAGGATGAGGATGAGGATGAAGAGGAGGATGAGGATGAGGAACACGATGAGGAACAGGATGAGGATGAGGAGGAGGGATGGGGCAGGGCTCAGGGCTCTGAAGGTGTCTGTGCTCTCTCGGCAGGACATTCCCACGGGAGCTGACAGCTGTGTCACCAGCCTGTCCTGTGACTCCCACCGCTCCCTGATCGTGGCGGGGCTGGGGGACGGCTCCATCCGCGTGTTCGACAGGAGGATGGCGCTCAGTGAATGGTAACTGGGAACTGCCAGGGCTCAGGGGAACCTGAGCTGAGGGGTCCTGCTGTCCTCACACGTGTCCCTTGTCCCCAGCCGAGTCATGACCTACCGCGAGCACACGGCCTGGGTGGTGAAGGCCTACCTGCAGAAGCACCCCGAGGGGAACATCATGAGCGTCAGGTACAGGGGATCCTGGAGCCACCTGCCCTTCCCCACAGCCCTAAAACCCTTTAAACACCCCTCTAACACCATCCCTGCTGTTCTCTGGAGTTTGAGATCTCCTTCAGTAATTACCTCCTGCTCCAAACTCGGTGGAGAGGAGGCAAGGAGGGACGTGGAGCTTTCCTTGGAAGGCTCTTGGTGTGGTTTGGGAGCAGACAGGCTGCTGGAATCACAAGGTGTGTGAGGAGGAAGGGAGGGAGGGGAGCAGGAGCTGGGTGTTGAGTATCTTGTGCTGGGAGGGTTTTACTGCCAACATCTCCATGGGGTCATCTGGGAGAGAACAGGAGGATGGTGGATGGTGCATCTGGCACGTTCCTGGGCAGGATTCCTGTGCAATTCCCTAAATCCATTCCTGCTGCCTGGTAAATACTGCAGCCAGAGCAGCAGGTACTGATTTGGCCATTAAGGAACGGCAGAACAGAATTTATTGTCACGAAGCCACTGTTTGCACACAAAGAGCCTCTTTTTCTTGATTAGAAAATGGAAACAAAACATAATTTTCTGGGATTCAGAACATTCCTGAGGCGGGGGATGGGCCAGCAAAAATGTATTAAGATTTTCAGAGAGGGGATTATGTGATGTAGCTGCCAGATTTGTCAGGCTCCCATATTGGAGTTTTAATCTTCCTCTCCATAAGCTCCTCCAGCAGCTCCAGGGGTCAGGTCCCCGTGCCCAGAGCTGAGGGCTGGCAGTCCCCTCTCCTCAGAGCCCTTCCAGCCTGGGAGCTGCTCCTGGGGCTCTGGGGAATGTTGGTCCCAGAGGAGCTCAGGTTGTGGAGCTGAGCCACCTCCTTCCACCCCTCCCCGTCCCCTCTGCTTCAGCTGACAGCAAAACCCGAGAACAAACGGGAGGACACAGAGAGGTCCTGGTGTCCCGACACCTGGAGAAGAGGATGGCACCAGCACATCCCCTCTGCTCCCCTCTCCCGCTGTGCAGAGCAGCAGGAATTCAGGGCTGGGTGTAGTGGGAGTGCCAGAACAGGGAGGGAACACTCAGAGATGGGCTGGGGGAGAGAGAGGCAGTGAGGGATCAGAAATTTGGGATCTGCAGTGTGGGATCTGCAGTGTGGGATCAGCAGTGAGGGATCAGCAGTTTGGGATCAGCAGTTTGGGATCAGCAGTTTGGGATCAGCAGTTTGGGATCAGCAGTTTGGGATCTGCAGTTTGGGATCTGCAGTTTGGGATCAGCAGTTTGGGATCTGCAGTTTGGGATCAGCAGTTTGGGATCACTCCCGAGCTGTTCCTCCAGCACAGAGCGTGTGTGGGATCACATCCCAGCAGCAGAGGGAACTCTGCTGTGTGTGTTCCCTGTCCCGATGCCCCAGGGAGGTGCTGGGCTCTGGGGCAGCCCCACAGCTGCACCCACAGCTGCATTTCCTGGCTCTGGGGTGGGGCTGGGCACAGCCTGAGCCCGTGGCTCTGTGTTGGCAGCGTCAATGGTGACGTGAGGTTCTTCGACCCCCGCATGCCCGAGTCCATGAAGGTGCTGCAGATCGTCAAGGGGCTCACGGCCCTCGACATCCACCCCCAGGCCAACCTCTTTGCATGGTAAGTGCTGCTGCCATCCCTGGAGTGCCAGGACACAGGGAATGGGGAGAAATTCTTCCCTGGGAGGGTTCTTCCCTGGCTCTGGGTCCCTGTTCAGTGTCTGTGTTTCTGGGCTCTGAGTGGGGACCAGCAGCTGCTCCACTGCCACACGGCCTGGAGCCTGTTTGGGGTGCACTGGGTGTGTTTGGTGTGCACTGGGTGTGTTTGGGGTGCACTGGGTGTGTTTGGTGTGCACTGGGTGTGTTTGGGATGCACTGGGTGTCTTTGGGGTGCACTGGGTGTGTTTGGGGTGCACTGAGTGTGTTTGGGCAGGGGCTGTCCGTGTTTTCCTGTCCTGGGTGACCACAGGCCACTGTGGTTCCTGCCACCAGTCCCTGCTGTCCCACTTTGGGAAGTGGCTGCTCTGTGTCCTGGCTCCCAGCTCAGCCAGGGGCTGCAGCTGCAATCCTGTCCCCTCCCAGCACTCCCAGTGATGCCCTGTTCCATCCCTTCCCTTCCAGTGGCTCCATGAACCAGTTCACCGCCATCTACAACGGCAACGGGGAGCTGATCAACAACATCAAATACTACGATGGCTTCATGGGACAGAGAGTGGGAGCCATCAGCTGCCTGGCCTTCCACCCTCACTGGGTCTGTATCCCTGCTGCCACCTGGGGCTGCCACGTCCCAGTGTCCCTGTGGCAGGAGGGGGTGGCACAGAGACCCCCCCAGAGTGGAGGGGAGCTGTCCCAGCCCGGTGCTCTGAGCCCAGCCCCACACAAACCCCAGTGCTGCCCCTGCAGCTCCCCAGGGCTGCAGCTCCTGTCCCTTCCTTCCCATCATCCTGTCACTCCCCATCCCGGCTCAGCTCCCAGCCCTTGGCCACAGGAGCTGTCCCAGGTGACAGGAGCAGGGCAGGCTCACATTCCCAAATTCCATCTGTTTATTCCCTCCTGCCTGGGCTCTGCAGCTGTGCCTCGCTGGGCTGCTCTCACATGGGGCTGGGGCTATGCAAAAACTGCTCAGGAAAACGGGAGAGCTGCAAAAATGAAAGGCACGAGCTGCTGAAGGCTGGGATGAGGCAGAGCAAAAGGAGATTTTGGGGTCTGTCACAGCTGAGGGGCTCTGCAGTAGTTACAGAGAATCTGCTTGCTGCTCAGGGAGGAGCGTGGTGGACTCTGCTCACCCTGGGAGGAGCTGGAAAACCTGGGAAAACAAGGAATGGATGGGAAAACAGGAAGGAATTACAAGAGTTATTTTAGAAAGCTGCAGATCAGCTCACAAATATTTAATATGTGATGGGAAGAGCAGTTTGCTCTTTAAACAAGCAAAGCAAAGCTCTGTCCAGCCTGGCCAGGCCCCCTCACTGCTCAATGCTCATTTTCAGCCCAGCCATTCGCTCCTAACGAGCAGATTTGCAGTCATTTAGAGAAATTATGTCAGCAGTTGGTAACTAATGATTCCCATAACTTTCCCCTGTGGCTGAAATGGGCCCTGCAACTCCTGCAGAGCTGTGGAGCAGCTGGGTGTCCCTGCTGAATGTCACTGTCACCTGTGCCTGTCACTGCTCCACACCTGGACCTTGGAGCGGGTCACAGGAGCAGCGGCTGAGGGGGCTGGGAAGGGGCTGGAGCACCAGGACAGGATCAGGAATTTGGGAAGGGGCTGGAGCACCAGGAGAGGATCAGGGATTTGGGGAAGGGGCTGGAGCACCAGGAGAGGCTCAGGGATTTGGGGAGGGGCTGGAGCACCAGGACAGGATCAGGGATTTGGGAAGGGGCTGGAGCACCAGGAGAGGCTCAGGGATTTGGGAAGGGGCTGGAGCACCAGGAGAGGATCAGGGATTTGGGGAGGGGGCTCAGCCTGGAGAAAAGGAGGCTCAGGGGGAACTTCTGGCTCTGCACAATTCCCTGCCAGGGAACAGGGACAGGAGGAGAGGGAACGGCCTCAGGCTGGGCCAGGGGAGCTCAGGGTGGACAGCAGCAGGAATTTCCCCATGGAAAGGGAGCTCAGGCACTGGAACTGCGCAGGGAGGGTTGGATCCCCATCCCTGGAGGTGTCCAAGGAACAGCTGGGCTGACAGGGTGGGGATGGCTCCCAGGGCTGGTCTCAGAGGGCTGGTCCAGCCTGGGTGGCCGTGTGACACTGCCTGTTTGTCGCTGTGCTCTCCCCAGCCCCACCTGGCCGTCGGCAGCAATGACTTCTACATCTCTGTCTACTCGGTGGAGAAGAGGATCAGATGACGGCGCGGCCGGAGCGGCTCCGGGGCCTCCCTGTACATAGAGAAATCATCGACTTGAATGTTTCGTGTTGGCTGCTGCTGCACCCCATAACTTGAACATTTGTTCTTCTGACTTAGCTACTGATGGGTTTGACAAGGGGAAGAGACAATCTCCTGGTTTGGTTTTGTTTTGTTTTCCAGCTATATCCTCTAAAAGCTACAGAAAAGGAACATTTATTTTTGTTTCCAGTGGTTGGCTTCTCTGTCAGGAACATGGCTCCTGAGCTCGGAAAGACTTGGATGAGGCAACGCCCTTGAGAAGGGTCTTGTTTTAGTCTTTGTTCCGTGTTTTACTGGAGTGTGGGTTCCTCAAGGACTGTCAGGACTCACCTACAGCTCCACGGGACCCTCCAGCTGCTGTGCCAAACGCAGTTCTGATGTACCTGCCAGGGAGGCAGGGCAGCACATCCTCTGCATGAACCTCCTCCTCCTCCTCCTCCTCCCTGCAGCAAGGACAGGCGGGGATCCTGCAGGAAGGGGCTCAGGGAGATGGCGAGAGCGGGACAGTAAAGCTGCGTGTGAGGAAGATGAGGGAAGGAAGGGAATGAAGATCTCCATCCTCCCAACAAGCCTGGAGCGAGTCACCGGGGCCACCACGTTCCACCCGAGCCCTCGGTGCCGGTGGCGAGCCGGGGGCTCCTGAGCCGCTGTCCCTGTGCCACGGGGAGCTCCACAGCCACAGCTCCGTGTCCTGGGCTCCGTGTGCTCCCCACGGCTGCTCTGCACACAGCCAGGGGCAGGACTTGGCCCCTTGGGGCTGCACACCACGGCTGCCCCTCTGGAAACCAGCGTGGGAGCACCTGGGCACCGAGAATCACCAAGGAGGAGGAGGAGGAGGAGGAGGGAGGCAGTCGCTGCTCAGCGCCCTCACCCCAGCTGTCCAGGCAAGGCCTGCTCCGTCTTCCACACCTTCCACGTCCAAATAACGAATGTTTTGTCCCTTGGGATCCGTGCTGGGGCTGGGGCTGGGGGTGGGAAGGGAGAGCACAGCCAAAGGTTTCCTTGCAGAGGTGCAGAACTCGCCGTGGGGCCAGGAATTCCCAGTGCTTCCCAGTCCCAGGGGATCTGCAGGCTCCCAGCAGATCCTGGAGGGAATGGGGTGAGGGAAGGGCTCAGCACCCCTCTGGCCCTGTGCTGACACCTCTGTCCCATGCCCAGCCCTGCTGCTGCTGGCCCTGGCACCGTGCCCGTGTGTCCTGGGGCACCAGGACCACACCAGGGACGGCTCCCGTGGCCACCCCGAGGTGCCACAGGCACATGGGGACTCTGGCCGAGGAGAGGTCCCCAAGCCACGGTGGTGGAGCCGAGGTCGGGTGTCCCCAGCACCGTCCCTGTCAGGGAGGCCGAGGGCCACATCCCAGGATAATGAATCAAAGGCTTTAAACCTAAAAACTACCTAAAAATCCACTTTTAAATTACCCAAAGTTAATTATGGTCTTAACAGAGCTGTGCCTCTTCCCGACCCGCTCCCGGGCTGTGCGAGGGGCTGGAGCCAGAGTTTGGGATCTCACGTAACCCGTTAACATTCACAGCTTCAGAAACAACAGATTTTTAACTCCTATCAGTGTATTTGTGAAAGGAACAGGACATTCCTGGCCTGGTGGGAGCCGCTGCTCCTGCCCGGCTGCTCCTGCCCGGCTCCGCTGGATTTAAGGAATTTTAAGGAATTGGGGCTGTTGGGTTTTTACCTGAGTGTGTGTGGGCTGTGCTTCCACAGGTCTGATGCACAGATGTAATCATGGGATCACAGAGTTTAACCAAGGATCTGAAGAGCGTCCTATCTTAAAAGTTCACTTATCTCTATTTATTTTACAAAAATAAAGTTTAAAAAAATATATATAAAAACCCCCACACGATTGTAATGTGAGAGTAAAGCGATTACAGACAAATAAATGGTTAATAAAAAATAAATGCAGAAACACTTCCTGCTGTGAGGATCCTTGTGTGGCCCAGGCAGGAGCCGGCTGTGGTTTGGGTCTGGGGGAGGTGTTGGTGACAGATGTGTGTCCCAGCCCCGGAATGCCGCGATCCCAGGGTGCAGATCCAGCTCTGGAGCGCGGCTCAGCCCGGCTCGCTCCGAGGGCTGAGCTGCCAGGGATAAACCGATCCTGGCAGTGCTGGGGGAATGTTGGACACGATGGGGTCAGGGGGCTTTTCCACCCTGAGCAATTCCATGGCTCTCCTGGAGCCCCCATCCCCTACAGCCTCCCTCCCGCACCTCCCATTCCCTGTATCCCACTCTCTATAGTATCCCCATTCCCTATATTTTCCCTATTTCCTATATTATTATCCCCATTTCTGGTTATTCCCATTCCAAATATTATTATCCTCATTCCCAGTACTATTATCCACATTCCCGATATTATTATCCCTATTCCCTATTTCACTCCCGTTCCCAATATTCTTGTCCCCATTCCCAATATTATTATTCCCGTTCCCGATATTATCATTTCCATTCCCGGTATTTTTAATCCCATTCCCGATATTACAATTTTTCATTCCCGATATTCCCGTCCCGATGGCGCCCCCTAGCGGCGCGCTGCCGCCGCTGCCGCGTT